ATATATTTTCGTTAGTTATTTATCGTTCAAGTTTGTGCATCTGTTTTACCGCTAGTCAATAAATCAAGAATTCAAGATAGATAACGCAGACTTACAGATATAAAAACTAAGAGCATCGCATAGTTCTGTTTGACAGTTCTAAAAGTATCAGCTCTATCCGTTCAGCAAAGATATTAATGTGTAACAAAACCTTAAACAACTTAACCTCAACGGAATGGAGTAGAGTCCATTGACGACGAGTCAATTGGTTATCCCACTGTTAACAATGCGTGTGGCAATGAATAAGATAGAAGAGACGACAAGAACTGAGAGACGAGTGACACTGACAGACGGTTGAGCCGGCGTAGTAAAAGTAAAAGTGGGGTGATAAAATAAAATTCCCAGGCGGAGCAACAACCCGTTCCGGCGGCCGCGCCGGAGGATTTATTACGGAGCCACCCGGCCCACTCTCGCTCCGCGCTTGACCGATGGGTGACCATCAAACTGGCAAATTGTCCAACAATCTCCACCCATTTTGACAGTTGAAAAGTTAAAAGAATGGAGCAAACTTTCAAAAGAACAATGCAGTTTACGATGACTTAAAAAAGGCTGTGAGAAAACCCTATGAAGACACTTTTCATTGTGCAGCGAAAATACTTTTTATTGCAGGATACGGATCTGTCCACGATAAATTACACATGACATTCACTAAGGATATAAAAGCAAACATTAAAGTAGCAGTACACTTTTTATCGATTTGAATATTTGCAAGTGTTTTTTGCTGTAGAAAACTATAACGCAGGAAATAATGTACGCGGTTCTTAGAACTGTCTCCGGTAAGTAAAGTATCACGAGCGTTGTCGTGTCGTTATGGCGAAATAATGACGTTCGCTCTACGACACGTTTCACAGTAATATGCTAGGTTATTTTAAAGTTACCAATGTAGGCGTTTATGAAGCCGAGAACGTACATACATGTGTACATGTTACACATGGTCTACACGAAACTAATCCTGCATATCTTGTCGAGTTAGATGACGCAATCAACACCCAATAGTGACTACCTAATAAGACAATAGTCGTAAAACAGGGGCTGCTGAAGCTTTTGTGCTGCTTAGCGCTTTGGTGATTAGCAACAAACTTGATTTGATACGGTAGCAGACAGTGCTTGTTAGGTCATCGGCTTTGTTCAAGGTCCTACTCTGGTTTAAAGATCTTCCGTTTACATAATATGCAAATATGTATTAGTATTTCATAATATTACTTATATGAATATAATAATATGTCATAAGGTTTAATCACATTGTGTGTTTTTCTACGACAAGTCAAAACAAGTAAGGAATGATATAATCCGCTGGCGCGACGACGACGTAGTTCATATCAACTGTTTTATGACTCACGCCCAGCGCATTTTGTTAATCTATAAAGCATACTACTAGGCAGTTTAATGCTATCATATACAAGGCATTTATTACTCACTTAATATTAATTTATTGACTTGTAATATCAATCAGCAGTCACTTAAGTCCGATAACTGCAACTCCTGTAGAGCAGGCAAGATGTAGATCTTGCCAAGTAAACTAAGATATGTACCTACAATTGCAATAAACTAATTTGATTTGATTTGATAAGTAAACCCAAGTAAACTGTATGTAGAGTTTAAAACTAAATCAATCAAGACTAAGTTAGTCCTAACAAAAAGGGAAGAAAATAGAAGTTCACAGCTAGGGATCTGTTTCTTCTTTTTCCAAAGTTAGGAATAAAACCTTTTAATAAAAATATGCATGTACCAAGAACGGTGTGATTTATTACTTTTAACAGACACGTGTTATCCAGTTAATCCAGTAATATCTTGGCAATAACGCCGAAAAATACGGAGCTTTATCATTTGAAAACAAGATCATAATAATAAATATCAAAAAAGATGTACGCTGGATTAAATCCGGAGCCGCTATACACATTACAACTCGGGTGCCCATTAAAATGGTTACTTTAGGAAAATAGAAACTATAAGCAATGGATGAAGTGACCATAGATGGGCAAATTTAATTTGACGCTCGATAATCGATGCGGAGACGAGTCAAGATAGACGTGGTGGGCATTATTTTTTGCAGATAGAATGTCAGGTTGGGTTGGTGAGATGCGCGCGGGGCGAGGCGCGACGGGCGAAGTAACGACTGGCAATCACCAATTCTCAGAAGCGCACTTGTTTTCGCACCAGGTGCAATCATGCTACGTATATTGATGTGCATTATACTTTCAAAACCTTTGAGCAGCTCTCGGCCGGCGTATAAAAACATCAGCAAGGGTTAGCATGAACGAGATCCAATACTCGCTATGATTGAATTTAACCAATTAATGTCAATTAATTTTTTCATGGAACCGAGAATTCCTGTGAAGAGTTTAATATTAGCATCAAGTTAGTGTTGCTATAATGGTTTATTTTTTCGTTTACGGCCAGTTGCCAACGATCGATGCGGTAGCTTTTCTGAAGAAATCTTTAACTACTTGGATATTTGTTTAATATTAATAACATTGTGGAACTGAAAAATCTTGTAACCTTTATCCGCCCGTGTTCATGATATCATGTTTATTGATAATGGTAATATTAATATTACACAATGATTTCATCGAGTACACACCTTCCAATTTCCAGAATTAATAGCGTAGCGAATGATTAGCCAATATTATGCGAGTTAAATATTCCGTCGAATTATTTTATAATAAGTATTCATATGAAAAATAAGATAGTACCTACCTACATCAACGTACTTATTAACTTTTCAGGTCATAGGTATTCTTAGTAAAATTAGTTATAGGCGCATAAATCAACGCGCAATGTTGCGTGACTAGCGATGTCACTAATTAGCAATTAATTACATACACTCGAGTCCCATATTTGTTCGGGAAAAAACGTTAAATGTGTTTCATAGCAAATTGACTCAAAGCGATTATCATTAAATGGCAATTCGCTTGCAACGGTTCATTTCAGAAAGTAATAAAATCAAATTTATTTAACGACACAAATGGTTTACTCGGCCAACTAATTAGGGAAAGGTGTAATTTTTTCAACGTCCGGTCACTTTGCTGCTAAAATTAACTGTAACGATAAAGAAGGAAGGATGTATTTTTTATCCAGATACATTATTTTAATATACAGTTAAGTGAAGTTAATGTTAATAAAACTTATTTTTAGGAATTAAGCCAGTTTCTCGATGTCACAAATTAAATTACCTAAATACTTAATGACTATTCAATTTCATTATTATAAAATGTAATTATTAATTACACAAGTTGCCCGTCTCGCAAGTCCTATTTATTATTATCGAAGAGTATTTTTGCGCATACAATGGCCGCAATTTCTGAGAAATTTTGTGTCTTCACATCACACACCTGTGCATTGCTCATCAGTGTATTTCTGCCCTTATGGTTCACATGGCGTGCTTGAAATATTGAGCAGGACCAACGAGTTAAAAAAATACACGCAATCAGGGTTGCCAGGTCCAAAAACACAAAAGCCGGACTCTGTGCTTCATTTGGCCGGACATAAATCAATTAGTGTCATAGCTCTGTCTGAACTGTCATCATCGGTAGCATCAGTTGCCCAACATCCTGATGCGTGCGTGCGTCATATTGTTCTGTGGCTCGACTTTCGCCTGGCGCGGCAGGCCAAATAAAAAGCCTAACAAAAGCCGGACAGGCCGGACAAGACAATATTTGGCCGGACAAGACCGTAAAAAGCCAAACATGTCCGGCTAAAGCCGGACGCCTGGCAACCCTACACGCAATAGAACACTTGGCATTATTGAACTTGGAAGAATCTCAAATCTTCTGTCAGTCCAATTAGCTAAATACTCGGTACATACTGGGTGCAGTAAATTACGATCGAGTTCCGATTGAAAATGGCATTACTGCTATGGAGTGGGGGCGCAAAAAATACGCTGCAACAAGACTAAAACACACAAACTGCTATCTGTGATGCTTGTCGCGGTAAAATATTTATTTCATCAATAAAACCAAATATAAAACAAATAAATGTACGCGAAGCTGCAAAACAACTTGTAAACTGAGATAGTAGAAAGCCAACAAAGGAAAACGATAAAGGAAACCGTGCAGAAGGCTGAGTTGCGCCATCTTACTTTAACTTTGACAAACGTCAAAAATCTATCAAACTCCATACAAAAAGCGTCGGTTATCGTTATTGTTACGGTTAAAATAATGTGGTGCAACTCAGCCTAAGGCCCGGTTTTTTGATTCGTAGTTAAAATAACCAATAGTCAAATTTGACAGACGTCAAATGACAAGTGGTTAAATATCAGAAAAAAATGTTTTTCGAACAATGGTTACCTTGACTTTTAGTACATTTTTTAACTATTAGTTAACATTTTGTTAATATTTAACCATTAGCAGCTCGGCTGGGCAGCGTTCGGGAAGCTACGCAATATACTCACGTCCGAAATACCGCAGTGTCTCAAGACAAAAGTCTTCGAGCAGTGTGTGCTGCCAGTGTTGATTTATGGATCCGAAACGTGGACGCTTACTATGGGCCTCATAAGAAGGCTCAAGGTCACCCAAAGGGCGATGGAGCGGGCCATGCTTGGAGTTTCCCTGCGTGATCGAATCAGAAATGAGGAGATCCGCAGGAGAACCAAAGTGACCGACATAGCTCGCAGAATTGCTAAAACCAAGTGGCAGTGGGCGGGGCACATAGCTCGTAGAGACGATGGCCGTTGGGGCAGAAAAGTTCTCGAGTGGCGACCACGGGCTGGAAGACGTAGCGTGGGCAGGCCTCCTACTAGGTGGACCGACGATCTCGTAAAGGTCGCGGGAAGAGCCTGGATGCGGGCAGCGCAGGACCGTGCATTGTGGAAAGCCTTGGAGGAGGCCTTTGTCCAGCAGTGGACGTCATTTGGCTGAAACGAACGAACGAACGAACGAACCATTAGCAGCAAAATTTAACAATTTGTTATTTTAACTATGAATCAAAAAACTGGGCCTAAGTGAAAGTAGTTTAAGACTTACCATTCGATACTCCTGTATCCTTTCACGCAGCAGTGGATGCTCTTGAATTTGTCTTCGAAGCCGTATTCTAGGGGCACTGGCTCCTTGGTGAACTGCATCCACGAGGAGTTGGTGGGCAGTGTGTTGACTGAGCAGTACCCAGCGGCCGTGGTGGCAGCCACCGTGGACAAGACGCCTAGCGTCAGGAGCAACCACGTCATTATCTGTTGAAAACAAAAAAATTGTTTTGAGCACAAGCTGTCAGATAATTTATATCACTTGCATTAGATAATGGGAAAAAGGGCTAGGAAAAAAAAAACATTAGATATAAGACAAAAGAATAATCATATCCAAAGAAAATCCACATTGCACGTTACAAAAATGAAAGCTTTCGAAATCTAGGATTTTTCGGCCGGTAGAGCCGTTTTGGAGGATGCGATTAGAACCTACCTATATGAACAAATACCAGCTGCTCGTCTGCTGGTTAATTTTATTATCACAATAAATACTTGCCTAACCTTATTTAAACTAAACAGTATCTGTATTGTGGTGGTTAGATAATAAATAGTATTTAATTTAACTGTTAAGTATTATTCAAAAACGCTCCACTTTACCGGTTAATACACAAAATTATTTTAGTCTCAATTTGGTAACTAACAATTTCATAAATTCCAGCGGTATTAAGTGTAATTAGTATTTTGAATATTACATGAAAAGGGAAAAAGGGTATTACAACACGTGCAATTCTCTCAAACAACGCACCGCTTTGTGAAACTGGAAGGAAAATAAAAATAACACTCATTACACTCCCGAGAAGGCCGCTTATGAATCATTTACTCAGATATGCTGTCCTTTACATTACTGCTCACTGTTTGACAATAAACAATGCAGTAAAGAAACAAGTATTTAACATTGTTCGTCAGACATAATCCGGATTATTTATGGTATTTTAGCTGTCAGTAAAAAAAAACAGGTTTTTTAAAAGAATTACCACGCTAATAGAATTTATGAACAAGTACTACTGCTTCCCCCTTTTCCTTGAATTACTTGTGTTCTCATAATTGAACCTAAGTAATTATTGGCAACAATCGAACTGGTTCGCCGGTGTATCAGAAACAATTGAAAGTACTTCGATAGAAAGTCCAAGGATTATGATAATGGGGGTTTAGCCCTAACAATTCTCGGTACAGCGCAGACCTCGTCATTTCTACCTATAGCTTTGTTGTTCGCACTATTGTTTGTGTTCAAACTAGGTACAAGTCGTACAAGACAAGTTATTGTAAACGCTTCTAGGTACGATATTCGTCGACAAACAATAATATTTTAGTTAAAATTGACAAGCTCTGAATAAATTGGTTTTATTTACGTAACAGTAACAGTTAAAACTGATGTTGTTTGTGACTTTGAACGTGTTTGTTCGAGTTGTTTTTAACCTTTAACTGGTGACCTGAAGTCAACAGTGCGTATTTGGTGAGGTGACGTTTAAGAGACGTCAAAGAAAAACTAATGTACAAAAAAATTGGCTAACGTAAAATAAGTTTGAGGCCAAGAATTTCGTAACTTATATAGTTGTCCAAATAATATAAAAACATGGATTAAAAAAACATTAGTTTTTGGTACAAAATCAGTCTTTATTTGAGCAAGGTACTTTTCATTAAAAAAAAAGTTAGTCACCTAAAATGGGCATACTAGCCCCCAGAAATACACTTTGGGACCTTCCTAATCATCATTTTTAGATAGTTTAGATACTAATCAACAAAACTCAGCAGGTAAAGATATCCTAAGATAAGAAATTAAAAAAACTACAATCATCAAACATCACTTACTAGAAACGTTCACGTCTATAGACATCACAATTTTGCTGCAGAAATTTAGGCACATAGGTTTATCATAATAAGTTCTAGTGAACCTAGTTCATTTTATTACATGGCTAAGACAAATGGCACATGTTCTTTTAACCCCAGAATGGTTTTGGGACGAGGCAGAAGTCGGTCTAGGTGGTAATTCATCAACACCAACTGAACGCAGCTCCCGGGGTAGGGTAGTCATTATAAACCACGAGTTTCGATTGAGGTATAACTAAAGAGCTATCCAATGATAATAAGAAGCTGCCCCTAGATACCTTGTTAGTATTGTCGCAATTACTGTTTAAGACGTAAGAATTTATTCCTGAAAAATATCGACTGAGCTAAGCTATAGAATATGATTATACATAGGCCAATAAGGATGTTAAATAGTTGAAACACTTTGTTCCACCTCATCCATCAACTCCTCCTATTTCGTCAGGACACTGTTATTCAATGGTGGAGGTGTTGATTTCATCTCCAGATTGCTCAGATTTGGTAACATGCAGACTTTCTAAAACGAAGTCAGGATCGCCTATATCGTCGTCAAAACTACTACACTCGTCGTCGCTCTCTGTTAGAAGCTCCTGTATTTATACCTCGCTGACTAAGAACCCTTCTTCTTTTGGCAGACCTCGTTTATTTATCGTGAGAAATTCTATAAAAGATAATAACAATACATTACCACCGCTGTGACGTTCCTCGAACACTATGAAGTTGTGTAAACTAACTGTGAGGTGACGAACAACAGACACATAGGTAAAATACACATTAGCACTGACCTGACGTCTGTGAGACGGCGAAAGCTCCACACAGGCAACACAGGAGACCCTGAGCTGGTGCGCCCCCTACTGAACGAAAGTGTATGGCAAACGCGGAAGGTACCAAAACGCACGGGGAGAAGCGACAAAAAAGACGGGGAGATAAATCAAAAAAACGAAACGCGGTGTCTGAGAGACGGGCAGGTCACCAGTTAAAGGTTAATATGAACCTGTTTTAATACTGGAAGATTATTTTACCTTCCGTGCAAAATAATCACAACTTTTGATGCAAGCTTTTATCTTTCTTTTTTCGGCCTCACAGGAGAATTAACTAAAATACGAAGATTAATAAATGAGGAGGTAATTGTGTATTTCCTCATAAGAGCTTTGTATATTATTTATAATAAAATTTTACAGTTCTTGTCTATCGCCAGTGGCTCTAGACAATTTGATTTTTTATGCGTCTGTTTGACACGCATGCCTTACAGCAAAATATTGTTAGTATGAACTCGAAACGATACCTGGATGTGAACGTGTAAATAATAATTCATAGAAATTATACATGTTTTTTCAACATTTAATATGCCATTGCGTGTTCAAATATTTTTTAAAATACAACAGAAGAAACATATTTCGTATTGTGTTTTATTTATATTGAAATATTTTTTTAACGACCGGGTATTTTGAAAGTGACGTCGTGCTTTAGGTGGGAGGGGTGTGACTAAGTTCATAGAACTGTTTTTAAATATTCATTTCGGTATGTAATGGAAAAAGCGAATGGCTTGTATGCCGAACGAAATACTGAATAAACGAATGACCTATAATTCTACGAATATGGCAGTGGAGCGAGTGACTGGGCCCTAAGTTCTCGGAACGACATTAACCACTTAATGGTAATGCACTGGGTATTTTTTTCGGTGCGAGTTAGGTTTGAACTTTTAAGCTGACATCTTGGTAGCTGTCATAAATGATGATTGGATTAGTTAGGATGAGAATGTAATTATAATGAAATCTATTTACAAAAGACAAAACTACTTACTAACTAAGCTGGTAAAGAAACTGTTCACCTGATTTAAGGTGAACAGTTTCATTGACGGAAAAAGTATTCACCTAGTGCCTACTTAGGTGCCTAGGCCTACCTTGAACATTATATTAAAACTATTTGCCTTATGAAAAATATAGTGATATTGACTAGTAGTAATGAAATACTAATATAAAGACTTCCCGTTTACCATTGAAAGTCTAAGAACTAATAACAATAAACAAGGAAAATTATTAAAATGCAAGAGGTAAGTCATTCTACCTTCTAAGTAAATTGAAATCTATATATATAAAAATGAAACCCGTTTCGCGTTGTCACGGCATCACGTGTGAACGGCTGAACCGATTTCGATAATTCTTTTTTTTTAATGTTTGTGGAAGTCCAAGGATGGTTCTTACGGAAAAAAATATTAAGAAAATCTCTACGCTAAGGCGGTACGAAGTTCGCCGGGTCAGCTAGTTATTAATAAAGCAGCATTGAGTATGAAATGTCAGTTTCTATTAAGGTAATTTATTGACGTAATAGTTTTATTTTGTTCAGGCACGAAGCCGATGTTTTCAAACGTCAAAAAATTACCAGGATCTACCAGGATGTGCATTAATAGTAAATTAATTTGAAAATATCAATCGATGTCAATTAATGGGTTCATTATAGACTACCTCATTGGGCTGAGTAAAGACCTACTTTTTCTAGAGTAACTAGAATAGTATCCGGTTTACTTTTGTCACGTATACGGGCCCTACGGGACACTTTAAGCTTTACACTTTCACCATCATAGTCATCATCATTTCAGCCATAGGACGTCCACTGCTAAACATAGGCTTCCCCAATGATTTCCAAAAGCTTTACACTTAAGCGTCATGTTAATTGGTAACAGACAGGTGCTGTTTTGCGTCAAATTTTTTTAGTCTGATATTATGCTGGTACACTCTGTTGACTGTAAACATATTGTGTGATACAGAAAAATAACTATTATATTATGATGTTCGTGTATCACATTAACGATCGCGGCGTATTATGTGAGATCATTAATTGATTTATATTGTCTGCGCGAATGTACTCACAAACTTTTTACATTGTGGCACACAGTGGTACACCTAATTCACCTATTGTAATTTATTACTAGAGTAATTAATCATACCTGTGGAGGTGGCAAATATTACGCTCTAAGAAGTCGGATAAAAACAAGTAAAATCTGATTCTGAATGGTAAAACGCACATTAATATTGTCATCAACGCTAAAAAAATTACTGCAGAGATTTCAGTGACTATTTTACCGATTTATTAAAATAGATAGCCACTACTTATCGCAGCGTGAGACTTCCACCCACAAGGTGGACCGACGACATCGTAAAGGTAGCAGGAAGGCGCTGGACGCAGGCAGCTACCAACCGGGCAACATGGAAAGCATTGGCGGAGGCCTATGTTCAGTTCAGCAGTGGACGTCCTATGGTTGAGATGATGATGATGATGATGAGTTATCTGAGACAGACTAAACTTTACACGTACTAGATAGCAGTGCATAAATCGACACTGATTAATGTTGGTTACAAACGCTTTGGGATGGTAATTCCTTTATGCGAACGAGCTCGAAACCTGAATACTGAAGCCGTTCATTAGGCTTTGATGGATACCGCGTTCAATGGCGATAGTTGATGGATCTCTCAGTATAATTTCGGTAATGTAGGTGCAACACATCAAACTGACACTATTGGATTTGTAACCAATGCTAAGATTGAGCTATATTGCATCAAAATACAATGATGATGACTGCGCTATATTGATAAACAATGATAGCATTTGCGTCTAAATATGATCCATGCGCAACGGCCTTAAAAAAAAGAAAAAATTGCATCACATAGATGTAGAAAATTGGTGGAATTGGTGGTTTGGTTCCATCCAACTTATTACAAGCTTTTATAACCCTTAAGTTTATCATTACTTCCCAAATACCTATTTATGATTTTATGTATTAATTTATCGTTATGTCCACAGTACAGTTACAACAGGTATGTTACATCTAAGGGTATGACAACCACATATTATGGGTAGCGCGGTTACAATTGTACGTTTATTTAGATAATATGATTATATTATGGCTACGTAAGTATGTTAGACATCAGTAGCACATGAGTAATACAAGGGCCGTAAGCTCGTACCGGCGAGCCGAGTGATTTTTGCAATTACGTACACAAGGCACACATAGGGTTGCCAGGTTCAAAAACACAAAAGCCGAACTCATGACTATCAACTATCATCTTTGTATCAATAGCCCAAGATCCCATGCCCAGGTGTGCTCGATATTATTCTGTGGCTCGACTTCCGACTGGGCTCGGCAGCCACATAAAAAAGCCTAACAAACCCGGACAGGCCGGACAAGATAATATTTGACCGGACACCTGGCAACCCTAGGCACACATATCTGTGGGCAATTTGCCGCTCCTTCGCGGGCTGCGCTGATCGCCTTCTCGGAAGCGGGGTTGCATCAACTGCACCGAGCTAGAGTGATTAAACAGCTAATTACCGCGGGGCCAAGAGCGATGCTGTGTTCTACCCCCAGAGCCACTGAGAGCACATTGTTCATTACAAGCTTTTAACGTTTATCGTGCGGCTTGGAAGATTAAATTAACTCTACAACGCGTCTTTAAATATTGTTGAGATATTGGTTTTTGTAGCCATTATAATTAAAAGACAAGTAAACTTATTGTAAAGTTGACGAGTGCCTTATTTGTCACCGCCAGACATTTACAACGTTGAAATGATAAAATGAGGTTCGAGAATTAAAAATTACATGAGAAATAAAGGTTAAAAAAGCGTTTCACCTTGTACCTGCTTTAAACTTAAAAGTCTACAGACAAAACCTGTTTTGTCTCTTTATAAAGTAATGTACCAGGTGTTTTAATTCTTTACTCAAAAATGAACTATATTGTATTTATGTAGTTGTATATTTACAGCTTACTAAGACTACGTAATGTTCTATGGGTAAATCTAAAAAATTACGCGACAGTATGCTAGTATAGTGGTACTATTACTGTGGTATTTCGTGTATATTTTCTAAAAGCTATAAAAGTAATACCTAGGTAACAAAAGATTCCTTCTCTCGCGCTATTAGGTTTTTTTTACCAATAACTAGCTTTTTCCCGCGGACTCGCCCGCGAGAATATCAGTCTATCTCAGGAAGACTATCGCGCGCATTTTTGTTTTAAAATACGTATACTAACTACGTTATTATTATTTATTTAATTTTTATTATAATTTGTTAATTGTTGTAATTTTGATATTCATTAATCAAAAACCCTACTCAAAAATTGTTTTTATTCTTCCAAGTTTTAATTAATTTTATATAATTTTATTTATAACAAAATAATGTTTTCATTTAGGTAGTGATTTAATTTTCATGATAAGATAATGTTGAACTAACAGTTGTAATAATATGATTCACAGGTTTTCTTATTCATAGGCACTTATGTTTTATCAGATCATTATTTTAGATAATTTTTATAACATTAATTCTATCAAGTTAATACCTGTTAAGACTGTAATTACGTGTTTGTTGCACAAGAACTGGAAGAAATTTCAGATCTTTTGTAATGGCCAAAATAACAGACAAATAATTTGCTAAAATATTACATTTAATGGACTTTAAACAAACTTAAAGATGTAGGGGGGTGCTAAGAATAAATATCCACAAATATGGAAAGTGGTCAACCTGGTTGATTCAATTTGATGCAAAATTTGAATCAACCTTTTTGAGTAAATAAGAAAAATATCAGTTTATTACCAGTGAAAAACACCACACACACACATCAATATTACCATTGACCATCTTAATAAGACCTGACTCAGCATAATTTTGTGTTTGTTGTTACAATTCACAGTAATTTACTCAACATTGGTTTCATGTTAATAGTCATTTAGAGAATAAACATGAAAGAAGCATCCCACTAAAAACATTCTGTAAAAAACTACCTAGCCAAGTCTCGATGGAGCTGCTTGTTTATCTCTAAAAAGTAATGAAATCTAGACAAAGTCGTGCCAAGTCTTTGGTTCCTTACTGCGATTTCTTTATTATTATAGTTAATGTTGTGTGACTTGGCCGTTGAAGGGTACAAAACCAGTGGGGTGCTCCATGATACCATTGCACCAATCTGTCGCCAGAACCGCTACCCATTGACGATGGAAAATTGTCACTTGGAAAACGTTGATTCAACAATAACCATTCAATTGTAGGTTTAATAAAGCTGCATATTTCAATAATACTTATGTATGATTATCTTAATAAAGATTGTTCAACGGCCAAGTCACACAACATTAACTATAATAATAAAGAAATCGCAGTAAGGAACCAAAGACTTGGCACGACTTTGTCTAGATTTCATTACTTTTTAGAGATAAACAAGCAGCTCCATCGAGACTTGGCTAGGTAGTTTTTTACAGAATGTTTTTAGTGGGATGCTTCTTTCATGTTTATTCTCTAAATGACTATTAACATGAAACCAATGTTGAGTAAATTACTGTGAATTGTAACAACAAACACAAAATTATGCTGAGTCAGGTCTTATTAAGATGGTCAATGGTAATATTGATGTGTGTGTGTGGTGTTTTTCACTGGTAATAAACTGATATTTTTCTTATTTACTCAAAAAGGTTGATTCAAATTTTGCATCAAATTGAATCAACCAGGTTGACCACTTTCCATATTTGTGGATATTTATTCTTAGCACCCCCCTACATCTTTAAGTTTGTTTAAAGTCCATTAAATGTAATATTTTAGCAAATTATTTGTCTGTTATTTTGGCCATTACAAAAGATCTGAAATTTCTTCCAGTTCTTGTGCAACAAACACGTAATTACAGTCTTAACAGGTATTAACTTGATAGAATTAATGTTATAAAAATTATCTAAAATAATGATCTGATAAAACATAAGTGCCTATGAATAAGAAAACCTGTGAATCATATTATTACAACTGTTAGTTCAACATTATCTTATCATGAANATGGTTCCAGTAAAGGATGGTACGGCAGTGTTTGCTTCGCGCTCGACTTGGCGGGGGCACTGCCGTGCCCCCAGATTGGCATATCTAGGGTTCTTTTTCAGAGGGGGCCTGGGTTTGTGACATGGCATGGGGGGGTGCAATTAGTATCATAGCCGAGAGTTAATTTAATATCAACTATCATCTTCAAATAAGTAGCCCAACATTCTGGAGGGCACCAGACCATTCTGGAGGGCACCAGACCATTCTGGAGGGCACCAGACCATTCTGGAGGGCACCAGACCATTCTGGAGGGCACCAGACCATTCTGGAGGGCACCAGACCATTCTGGGGGGGCCGTGCGACCCCGGCCCCCCCGAAATACGCGCATGGAAAGCAGTAAAGGCTTAGCCATTACACCTGAAGTATGATTGTAACATGGCCCATATCAAAAACTGTCTATAATTCAATTTTGACCAAGAGAGACTTAGGCGAGGAGTACTGCAGATCCTTTAAATCTAAGAGGGTAAATTTTAAAATATGATTTACTTTAAACTTTAAAGTACAATTTCATAATTTTGTTCAACCTTCAGTAAGACATTCAATTATAATTTATAGTACTAGGTAGGTATCTGACCAATGACTGACTTACTATTGGAATATTAATGATTATGAAAGGTATAAAAAAACTATCCAATAGGTACACAGGAAAATGAGTTTATTTTAATGATTTTCTGCTACAAAAACTTAGATTGTTATTACTTGAACATAATATTGTTACTTAATTTTTTTTAAAGTTCTTTAACTTTTTTTTAAGTTGATGTTAGGTAGTGTTTGCAGTTTTGTAAAAGAGTTGGCAGTAAGTATTTAGTTAAATTCAATTTTCTATAAAATTTTTCTAAAAGCACATAGCAAATTATGCCGGTTATCTGAACACATGCTATAATTAAGTTTGGAAAAGCAAAAATTACTTTTGTCCTAGTTTCAAATCATCCTAAATTTTAAATAACAGTAAAACAAAGCAAGAGACGAGAAAACAAAATACGATTCATATAAAATAAGGATTACTCACCAAATCTAAAAATGTTAAAATCCAAGTTCTCAGAATTCGGAACTAAACCAAGTCAGTCAATCGTATTATTCCAGTTCATTATGCGGCACAACACTGATAGTAACAAAAACCGTCTAAACTAAGCCAATTTATCTCATAGAAATTACATCGAATTGAGAAAACCGGCAACAAATTAATTTCAAAATCACTGCAACTGATCAACACACAAAACCAAACACCGCGTGGTTATGACAGCAACTGACAACTGAATCACAGATTAGACAGATTATTGTCCAATCCAAGGACCGAATGCGTCAGACCAATGAAAGAGACGACACCATATGAATGAATGAAAATGACAGCTGTAAAAACGAGCGAGCATGCTGTTAGAAAGAGACAGAATAATGTTGCCAGCACTATATCTTTAAATTACCCGAAAAAAAGTGCGTGAGTTTAATGCATTTATGATTAATTTTAACAAAAATATAAAACTGACGCAAAAAAACATGCACTTAAAAGTAAAAAAATACTAATTACTTATTTGTTACGACAAATTATTATATACCATGATTGATACTTATGGAGGCGGTGCCAAGATTATGAAACTTATGAATAATTCGCCGGCACATTGATTCCAAAAGTATCAATCATGGTAATAATAATTCATCTTAATAAATAATTCATCCTAATAAATAAGTAATTTGTAATTATCTTTCTACTTTTTAATGCATGTTTCTTGGAGTTGTTTTTTTAAATTATTCCCTACAAAATACAGTTTACTATATCGACAACCTAAAAAGATCTTAAACAGTCAGCCCACCTTATAAAAATATGAAAGAATTATCCTCCAGCTCTTAAGCGTTAAGGAGTAGTACCTAACATCATGACGAGGTGATAACTACCTGATGCAAACACTTGAATAACTTTAGAAACTATACGTATCTATTAAATTAAAAGAATTATCCTCTAACTCCTAAGTGTTATTTTACCTTCTATCATCAGCTAATCAATATTATTGTAGGATGATGATTTCCAGACGCAAATACTTGAACAGCTTAGGAAATAATATGAAAATCTATATTACGTGCCTATAGAACTTAAGAGTTGCCCTCGATTTCCCTAGGAACCCCATCATCAGACCATGACTTGGTGACAAGGGACCAATGATATTAAAGAACTATAGATATGTTACGTTCATAGAAATTACGATTTTAATCCGTGCCGAGCTATTCCAAATTGCACACATTGACAAATGTAACTGATAAGTGAAACAAAAGATACGAAATAGCACGCAAATGAAAGAGATAGCTATAGTTTTAACGATTCTGCACTAACTAATCTATGTCCGCAGCGCACGCATCCTTATCGCTCTAACGTCAAAACAAGATCGCTTTCTCTTTCTTAACTTGAACATGGCGCATGGCGTCTTGATTGTTTGCATAAATAATTGAAAATATAAATACTAAATAATTTTGCATAATCACATGTGGTAAGAGATCCCTTGTATTTTGTTTACTTTAGAGTCATAATTGGTACACTTTCGAAACACACACGATGGCATTTTTTATTTATTTTGGTAAGAACACAGGAACTTACGGTGTGGTACGCACGCGATTGCGCACGACGCAGGCCACACGAAGACTAAACACAAGACGTCCCAATTGGGACGTATTTGAGTATTCACAGCGCGAGCGCTTATAACATATCTGCTTTTGTTTTTATATAATATCATTGCAAGGGACCATTTTGGAAATCGGTTGATAAGTAAGTGACGGAGTTCTGCAGTAACATACATAAAAAACATACACTCGAATTGAGAACCTACTCCTTTTTTTAAATTGTCGATTAAAAAATCTAAATAATGTTCGGTCTGCAAGTTATATGAAAACACGAAGATATCTCAAACGCGATATTTAATGTGTAGTGACTTAATTGCATTTATGTAGGTACTTACTGCATTAAGTTTCGGCTCTGTAGTTACAGCCGTGGTTACAAGCAGACTGGTGGCTCGTCGTTTCGTGGTCTTGAAGATCTTGAGCTACCCTCAATTGTCACAACACGAATAGTATCGGGGTTTACACTTAAATTGTACAAAAACCTTTTTAAAATTTTTGAACACATCAAACTTTTATAACCTTGTTAATTATGAACAGAGAAACGACTCAATAGTTTTCAAAAAGTCTTCACAAGTCGACTGATCAACAACAAGTGCTCGCTTCCTCGCCGAGCGGTGTCGAAAACTTCGTTAAAGCTAAAGGTGGCGCTAGCGTGCCTCCATCTTATTAGATCATGTTTGGTTTCCGTTTCCGACAGCAAAAAAAAAACTATGTTTTTCACACTTACCTCGATAATTTAAAAATGGTAGTATGTTTTTTTTATATTTTCTTCGAAATTTTTAAGTTACTTTGGCTGCGTTTTCTTAACCAATCAGAAACCAACCACAAAATCAGAATCTATTTTTGCGTAATTTTCATTCATAAGCGTATGGTTATAAATATGTAAGTATTTTTTTAAACTCAGAAGTATCGGGATGCTTAATGCACTTGCTCAGTTAATGGGACCTTTTTACTATCTGGCAACACTATAATTTCCCGCCATTTTATGCACGGATTTAAAAAAGTTTTTAGTTCAATAATTATAATATGTCATGGTTCATCCTCTCGCTCTCGCTTGCAGGCTCGCAGCAAAGAATTGTTTTTTTTTGTGATATTAACAGCCAGGAAAATTAAATATTATAACCTTTGTGTTAGGTGTATTCTGCTGATGTTCATTTGTTTTCGTTAAAATAATGAGAATTTTGTTCGTCATAGTTGAGGATTTATGTTTTTAGGAGAAATGTTAAAAAGACAAGGTTATGGACACACACATTATAATATTGTTATTAATAAATGCTACACGCAGGTAAGTAGGTACTGTACTATGTGTATAAACGTCTTGTGCCTTCATGTTTCGCATGCCTGACATACATAACTAGCAGTATACAAGAAGCTTACAATTTATAAATCTGTGTTAGTAAACTATGAACCCGCTCTTCAGAAATATGTAAGTAACTACTTCTACTTCTTTTTAGACTTGGAAGGTGACTTCTTGATAGTTTTGAGGTATCTGAAGGCGCCAATCGCGCGTCGCACCATGACTCCGCGCCACCACGCTTGGATCCTTCTAGCGGCTGTCGCGAGTCTCTCCTCCCGCGCCAGGCGAGCTGCTCTCTCGCTCTTGAATGTCAGCCAAGCTCGCATCTCTCCAGCATGCAGGTCGTACTGGAAGGTAGTAAAACAGTATGTGAGTAGTTATAAACTTTTGGAAAACGAACAGTAGCGAGCCACCACACATGTAAAGCTCACTCGCCTTCGTGAATTGCAACAATTATATTTACAAATTAATTAAAAAGTGCCAAATATTACCAATTTTTGCAGTTCCTGACGACGAGCGAGGGCTACTCGAAGCTCTTCGCGCTTCTTAGTGAGTGTATCTTCCATCTTGTTCGTGTCATTCACGTAACGCTGCCTCCAATATTCCAACGAATCTTCACGTTCCTGTATAAATCAATAATTTTGGTAGGTATCAAGCATGGGTAAGATGGTAAGGTTTGAAGTGCATAGCCAGCTTATTCCTGACAGGCATAAGGTACAGGTACCTACATTTGGAACTTCCAAATAGTAAACGTACTATACTATAGATAGTTTTCCACATAGCACACGGTGTTTACGTACAAAATCTATGAGCGAGTTTTACATGAAAACCACGCGTTGTACTTACTCTAGCTAGATACTATACACGGTCGTGATTAGGTATTTACGGATGGGCAGCGCCAGCAACCAATTGTGTTTCCAAGAATATTACCCACGCGCCGCTGTTCTTTCTTTTCTGTTACATTCTATCTTACGCGAGAAGATTTTCATAAAGGAACAAAACAAAACTTTGATCTGTTACGTCGTGTAGCCTATGACGTAGGCTATGCCATGTCTCGTCGTAGCATAGAGACACGTTTGCGTACCGATTACTTTAGTAGGTATGTAGTAGAGTCAGTTCTATATGCAGCACAGACGTGTTTCTATGTTCAGAATCGTAGAAGTGTGTAAGAAGAACTCTAGATATACCTACGTGGTCGTGATTCCTTGATCTGAGGTATTTAACAAGAGTGTCAGGTGTGCGCAGTAAAATGGTTCCAAAAATATGTATAATTCCACTCACTGATATTCTTTTTTTTCTATCTTACGAGTTATGGAAAAAGGAGAAGATCACGTAAACCTTGATCTGCAACTCATACGACTTGGTCAGCTCGTCGTGCACGCGGCGCTCGTGGTCGGCACATATCGAGTGACTCGGCGCGCGCGAACAGCCACTTCTCTACGTAGCACAGACGCGCGTTTGCATTCTTGTTATTTCTTTTCAATCTTGTTGCTGTTCTATCTTACGTGAGAAGAAGGAAAAAATTACCTTGATCTGCAACTCATACGCCTTGGCCAGCTCGTCGTGCACGCGGTGCTCGTGGTCGGCACGCGGTGCGGGCGCACGCGTCTCGTCCAGCTGCATGTCGAGTGACTCGGCGCGCGCGAACAGCCACTTCTCTACGTAGCACAGACGCGCATTTGCGTTCTGTTGCTCGTTCTGAAAGGAGATTATATTTATATTTTTAGGTAGGTAGGTAGGTAATCCTTTTTCATGTGAATTGACCGTACCTACACTCTACATCGTATCAAAAATTATCAGAATCAATTCGGCTATCAATCAATTTTTCAGACAGCGATGAAAGCGAGTTGCTAGAAGCAAATGTCTTCAGCAATTTCTTAACAAGCCTCTTCGGTTGAGCTTTCATGATATTAATGTTCTAAGAATACTGGCCTCAGCTTTTGCTAACAGAATAGTGGGATATAAAGAAAAGCCTTCGCTTGTGTTAATAATAATATTATATTACCTTTATCTTATCTCGAACAACAGCAATTTTGTGGTCGGCATTCTGTAGTTCGATTGCCCATTGTTTGCGTTTTGTCTTCATTTCATTGATAATTGACGAGCGAGAGCTAGAATACAAAAATGATGAGAAACTCAATTAGATATCTGTTGTTGTATTATTATTAGATGAAAGTAGAGTCAATTGGTTGTATTTTTATCAGGTCTGGTCTGTATGCCATAATGTACCTACTATTGTTTATGAATAATACCTTACTTATGTAGAATAAAAATCATAGACTTTGCTTTAGATTTCAGACATGAGCAGAGCATGAAAAGAGAATTAGCAAGGACAGTCTTGCCATGTTTTGTATGATTGAAAATTAAATTAAAATAAAATTTCAAACCCACAATCTCAGCTTTTCATGGTCCGATCGCACGATGACGGCGTACGAGTCGTCATCAAGGAGGGCTTGAACTGATTCTTGGAGGGTGCCCCACGCGCCACTCTCTACGACTTCTATGAGCGTCCTTCGAATAACATCTTTTACGGTATGCCTGAAAAAAATATGAATCTACTTTAATGATTCAATTAATAACATCCTACTCTATCTAATTACTTAAGGGAGGGAAGTATGTTACCGTTGTATTAATCTATACTAATACGATTGTTAGTTTGCTTGAACGCGCTAATCTCAGGAACTGTTTCATCAGGGTCTGATTTGAAAAAATATTTAATGTCGAATAGCCCATGTATCAGGGAAGACTTTCGGCTATAATTTAATCCTACTACAGCGAATAATGACGGAGCAGTAAAGAAAAAATGTTTGTTTCAGGAAAACTCATTGTTTTATTACAAGAGGCACGCAAGAGGTACACTGGTAGGTACATAACCTTTACATTATTGACCGCTTTCAATAAGAACTCGATTTAAAAATCTACTAGGTAAGTAAGACATTGCAATGAGCTCTGATGGTGATAAATTTTGTAGAGTCTGAAAAAAGTTTCTGTCTACGATATTGGCTCTACAACGCCCTCTGTTTATTATTCGCGAATCAGTGTACTCACCGGTCCCTCACAAGTTTCCCTCGCTGTGCTTTGTCGGTTTTCGTGTTCATTTGAACCCGCAACCTCAGTTCTGTGGTGCTCTCTGCAAGTAAGCGTTTGTATGAAACAACCGCAAGATGGCGTCGAGTGTCGGTGTTGGATTAAGTTAATGGAAAACTAGAGAAAAGTTTTAAATTCACTATTAACTTGGTAATAGGGAGAAGTACAAAAGTTTTTAAAATAAAATTAATGTAAATAGAAATACCGTAGATAGCGTCAAAGCAGAAAAACAACTAGGCACACAAGATAAGTATTATTAAGTTAAATTAAAGATACGTACCTACTGTCTTTTTACAGTTATTGACTTTATTTACCTACCTTCTTGTTCACTGTCTACAAGTCTTTATTATTTTCTGTTTTGTTTACTGTCTCGTAATAACGAAGTCGCGACAGAAAGTCTACCAAAGTCAATTATCTATTATTGTACAGAGCTACAACCTTGTGGTGAGTTTTAATATAACTTTGACCGTTTCATCCAACCAACAGTATGACCACAAACACGATAGTTGTTTAGGCTCTTGTTTCAGGACTTGGTCTAATTCAGCTTGAGCAGATTTTTCGTTTCATTCCACTTTGATCACCTGGATTTGATCACCCAGGTGATCAACCACACTTAAGTGTCCAGTGTCCTTTGTGGAATAGAACGCCTGGGGTCCACTTTGTTCACCTGAGTGATCAAATCCGGTGATCAAAGTGGAGTAGACTATTTTTTTTATGACAGTAGTCTCATCATAGGAACGAATGCATGCCAAGCTGCTACTTGGCAATTTAAAAGTAGGTACTTTGTAGAATCCTATTTTTATATTTTTTGCTAGAGTAGTGTTATGAAAGCTAATTGAACTTTCTTCCATTGCTATTTATACACTTAAGCTTACTTTTAAGTGATGGTCAATCATGTTTGTTAGTTAACTACCTGATTTAACTCACCGAGTATCCGCATTTGCAAGAGAACCACTTCCAAAGCCAACGCAAACAGCAAGGCGTCCATTTTTCTTTATCTGCAAAATGAACGTAGGCAACTTTATTAATAAACCAATGAAAAACTTAGTCTCTATTTTAATAAGTTTTCAGTGTGGTTTGCACTTTAAAAAGCTCACCAACAATAATGTAAGTCAAGAGTGGTTTGGGAAGTCTCGACATTTTCAAAATCTCGGGACAGGAGACCACTGACGAACAAAATCGCGGGAAGTCCCAAATCCTAGTACGAATACTTACTTATACTTACTATTTATTTCACACAACTTTACAACATACGGTAACATGATTGACGGTCGTTAGCTCATCTGACTGCAGTGGTCCCAAAAGAGTGAGTGATACCTGAATATTTACCTAGGGAGTTTTAATGAACATCGAAGTACAATATCCGGCTCTACTCGCCCGCCAATTTGTTCCGCCTACAAAGAGCCGGCTGCGCGTAACGAACGTCGGGATGAGTTGACGATTAATTTCGCTCGGAAATTGCTGTAACAACATATGAATTTCTTTTCAGTTGCACGCAATTCGATATAATAACGATTTTTGTTTCGAAAATGATAAACATCGGAAGTATAAAATTTGCCAAAAACGAGGCTACTGTCCAAGTCCGTTTTCAGATCTGTCTCTATCGATAGCGTATCATTTTCAGAGGGAGAAATGGATCTGAAAATACGGAAATAGCGTTAGAGAAACCTTTCGCACTAAAGAAGATATCGAGACGAGATTCAACGATCAAAGCAACTCTGTAACCACACCCTACTTTAAAAGTAGGCCTGTTAGTTCTAAGGCTGGGTTGCACCATCGAACTTTAACTTTGCCAAACGTCAAAAATCTGTCAAGCTCCATACAAAAAACACCGGTTATCGTCAAAGTTACGGTCAAAGTTAAATAACTCGTCTCCTTTAAATAACGAGAGTAAAAAAACAGTTCTTACTTACCACCAAAGCGTGGACACACAATACGTTGTTCCAATGCCGCGGCGATTCAAAGGTGCGATCAGAATGATCTGTAATAACCTATTAATAATGTTATATCTGTTGAGATACACGCTGTTGCCGGTCAATGGGTTTACCTAACAACAGCGTCTGTTTACTTCGTTACGTACACAAAGTCTAAGCAACGTTCGCAAACAGTTGGTCGCTTGATCAATATTGTCTGTTAATGATAATTATCGAATATCAGCTTTAATATGTTTCTTATACCATTTTTCAGTCGGCTACTTACTCTTCTTGTCTGTTTTTAGCTTATTTTATCATTTTGTAGCTCTTCTTTGTGATTTTGAATATGTTGGTTTATTTAGGTAAGAAAGTTTTCCTGCTTTCATACAATACAGAGTGATTTGATTGCACTGCTAATTTGGCATGATATGGGTCAGCTGACAAAGAAAACCAAAGCTCTCTGAATGAGGAGGGTGCAAAACGAAATAGAGAATCATTTTAGTAGATCCAAAAACGTCTGAGGTAATCTTGCTGTAAAGTTTTTAGGGTACTGTAACAATTTAAAAGAAAATTTTAAAGAAATATTTCAGAATATCCAAATAGGTGTTCTTATTAGTTCCTCGTCCTCGGAGTATTGATATTAAAAATTAATGATATCATTTGCTGTTACGGGTGAAAATCAACATAAAGTATAAGTACTTATGTATCTACTTACCTGCCACATAAATCCTTCTCCACAGTAGGTAGGTACCTACATCTAGAGGTAAATACATTATAAGATGCGATGAAAATGTAAGTACCTACCCCTCTGCACGCCGTTACAGCTCGCTTTTAGCAGGTTTTTTCTATAGAAACTCGAGAGACTCAATGAGAAAAGTTTTACAAAGCGAGGCACTTACTGTGATTATTTGTTAAAAAATATTTGAAGGGTGAAAATTCGCGATGTGAAAATTTTGGCGGTTAAGTCGCCGGCGGCTAGACGCTCTTTCGTTGTCGTGTCGAAACGTGTCGAAGGGTAATGAAATCACGTGGCCCTCGAGGCGCCTTCAAATTAAATCACCGTTAATTATAGCTGAGACGGGAGAACTCCTGGGGTTCAAATTTTGTTGCACTGAAACTTACCCGCCCGTAGAGCTAGACGTCAATATTTTTTAAGTGCATGCCAGATTAGATAAAATGATATGGCTTCAATAACGAGTAAATAAATGCAGAAGTACCTACTATAGAAAGAATACCTAGAAATGAAAACTGTACCTACTTGTAGCCTGAGTGATCATAGTTTGTTCAATTTGCCGTAGCTGGCACTGATGTAAAAACACGGGTGTGCTGTGTGCACGTATGAAAAAGTAAAATTCTGTAAAAGTTCCTGAAAAAATGACCTCAAAATTTTCGGTTTGAGTAGCATGCGATTTCATATTAGGCTTTTCTCAATATTGGTAAATTAAGTAAAATTAAAAATATTGGCTTTCAAGTCCAACCAACTACCTAAGTATAATGAAAATGTTCAAAGTCAGTTAGGTACCTACCTAGTTATTTTGAAAATGAAATATCTCTAACATACTTACCTAGCTAGCTATAACGTTTAACGTCAACTACATAGAGTACCTACTCGTAGCTCCTCGCCTGTGGCAGACTCCGCTTGGTCTCGCTGCACCGTTAATTTACCGCCCAAACTATAATATCGTTATCGTTACAACTAACACTATCTACATACCCGCAAGCTTAGCAAGCCAACATTAGATTAGTGTTTAACCAAGTTGCCGCGATACCTGCTGAAAATATCTAACCAGCTCCTTTTCAAATTCATTGCGAAACGAAAATCCTTGGGAATAAATAATAATTGTTTTAGGTCATCTGAAAGAACTCTTGCAAGTGCATTCTTATCAAACTGATTTTAAATAAGCCACGCATTTCTACAGTTGAGAAAACTTGGAAAAGTAGGGCAAATCTGGAAAAGCCGTGCCTACGTTATTAGATTGGCCGTAATCAACCCAGTTGAAAAGTATACCTATTTCTGTCCGTCTGTCATTGATCTTTTTATTTTGACACTAGCACTTTATCTATGGCGTTGCCTGCGAAAATTGAAATAACTAATAATTATGCGTAAGCATAGGTTAGGCTACGAATAAATATCGTACGAAATAATTTCCAGTAGATCCGTAGATTACCCTCCAATTCCATACTTTTACAAAGTCACAAACACGCTTTCTTTATTTAATATTAAGTTGCAATATGTCATGTATTCTCGGTAAGAGCAAGTACACAAAATCTACGACTAAATTTTATCTGAAAGTTCGTATCTCGACAAATATCAACTCGCAAGATTTAATATGTTTCGCAACATCAAAGCAGATGCTACAAAAACATCACTCCATTCCTTTTGTACATGTTTATATTTCTGACAACAAAAATTTTAATAAACTGGGTAAGTATCATGCGAATGTGTTATTTTTAGTCGCATTTTTATTGCAAACAATCATAATAAGCTTTAAAATGTCAAACGAAAAATTACATTACGTTAAAGATACACCTGGATTGAGAATGATGAATTATGTAGTTACACATCAATTAGATCCGCCTACCTCACTTTCTACAAAAGGCAGTTAACCCAAACACATTCCTTCCTAATTACTGATACAGGTTAATATACATATATTTATCTGACTGCAGAAAAAGCATGTAACTTGCATGGCCTCCTTCAAGGAGACGTGGGGCGTCAAGCGGCGCGGTGCGCTAAGCGGGCCCCCAGAAACACAAACATACGGCAGAGTTTAGAGCGTTCAAGGAGAAGCTATTTTGCAAGCGTTTGTTTGAATTGTGGCGTCGCATGCGACTAACGACGCCGCGTCTGACGCGGCAAATGAAGCGGCGGGCGACGCCGCGAAAGACGCGGCGTGTAAACTATAGGTTTCGCAACGGGGGAACGCAATAATATGTCAATAAAGTCACCCATTATTATAAACAAAATACACGTTTTCTCTTGGTAACTAGTCGATCAACGCCCCGCCCGTTAAACCAACCCTAACAGTTTTTTTTTGTTCGAAATAAGTATTTCTGTAGTTTTTCTGTTGCTATTATTATTATTGAATGGCACTTGTTTAAATATTTCTTTGAGGACTCTACTAGTGTGGTCTTCCACACAATCATATTCATTACAAGGGATTTCACGCGTCGCACGTGGTCTCGCGGCCAGGCGTCCCCTAGCGGAATACCAAAAAACTAATTAATGCCATCAAAGGCTGCCCTCAGCGGTCGACGTTTGATTGAGCTTTTTATTTACACCACTTTAATTTGTAGAACAAAAATAGCCCGACCAGTGGACTGACACTGGGTCCGCTTTAATTAAGCGACGACGTTTTTAATAATCACTCGATATTTGGTTTTGAAGAATTATTATTTATTAGTGTAAATAGGTACAAAAGTTATTAATTCAATTTCAATTTCAATTTCAATTTCAATTTATTTATTCCAAAAACAAAATACATTGTATAGGAAAATTAGACATTAAAATTCACACAATCTGCAATTCAATTAAAATAAAATTAATCTAATTTAACCCTAAAATTTCATTTCACATACTAGAATTAATATAAATGTCAGATTAAATAAATAAATAAAATTATTACACAATACATAATGTCAAAATTAATTAAAATACAATTAAAATAGAATAAAATAAATCCAATCTAACCCTAAAATTGCCATAAGGGATAAGATATACTACGCATCAATATCATAATATGTACCTAGGTACTACGTTTAGGATCGTAACACTCGTAGCCGCGTCGTAATTTGTCTTGACCTTTAAAATGCGTTATGTGTACATAGGGAGAGATAATCAAATGGGCCACCGAGCAGTAAGCGCAGGCATTTTCCGTTCGTTCTTATTAAAAGCTTGTGAAGTTTAGAACACACTTCGTTATTGACGACAGTATTTGTAAATGAGATTGTATTGGAATGTAAACATAATAAACTCCTGATAAAAATTAGAAGCTTAATATTTACCAGCTTGTTTGCGTTTCTATAGAATTTGGTCTTGGTTATTCTAAAAAAATTTCCTTCCTGCCATTTTCTCATAAATATTATAAATCTTACTTACTTAAGTAGGTATAAGTACATGACATCTCACAGATAAAGGAAGATTATTAGTTACTTACCTTGACACGCTCATTTGATGCCTATCTTATTTTATTAAGATTTTATAATGGGGGGATGCTTTTGTTTGTAATTTGTAATGATATTTACTATCTGTGTCTGTAATTTAATTCCATAATTTTTAAACCACTGATTGGATATTCCAAAATATAAGTACTTGGGTCATTAAGTGGCCTTCTTCCGCCCAAATGTCGGATTCTCCCTGAAACCTTTTAGGTACCTACTTAATCCTAGGTAAGATTTTCTTACAGTTGTTTTTAACATCTTTTAGACCACCCATAATGGTTTAATTTCCGAGAATCAATTTGAAGCCCATATCACCGTTAATTATAACAGTTTCGACAATAAACTCAGCAAAATGTTTTGTTGCTAATAGCACCTGAAAATCGAGCGCACATAAGTACGTAACATGAGTTACAAGCGTTTACTCTCAAAGTGGCTAGGTATACGAATTTAATTATGGATTCCTCCAACGCCTCGAGATCCATACACGATATCAAAGACATACCTAAACGCCACGTAGTTTCCAAAAACAATTTAATACATTATCTAGGTATATGTAGCGTCGCTGGGCTAAATTAATACCGGCGAATATTGCAGGTTGAACCGTATTTTGGCAAAATTATTTTCATAACAGGTTATGTAATTTAGTTCCGTACTCTGTATCTCAAAATAATTTAACCGAATCCTAACTACACAAGGCAAGCCAAATCTATATTTAACATCTTTACATAATAATTTTTAAACTGTACGTGGTTTCCATAGCGCACGCGACTAGCATAGCATATTTTGTAGAATAGCTCAAACACTAATAATACAATGCAAATAAAACATACCTTAACGACCTGGTTTTTCTTGTGTTGGAAAATAACTGAAAAAGAAGTGAAAAAAGTCATGTATTTTTCTAATTAAAACCATTCTTACTCCCATAAAATGTATGAAACTTGTGTCTGTTTTCTACTTCTACTAATAGATAATTTTATTGGCTATCGCATGATATAAAATATTTGCTTATTAATGTTAAACTACCCACGCTTTCACTTGTTTTTGAAGGAAGAGGTGAAAACTAAATATTAAAAACTTAAATCTTTGTAATTTTGAGATAAATGGGTCAAGCCCCAAATTTGGAGTATTTTTATTGATAAAATTGTCCCTAGATTTGGCCCTTAAAGTTTGATCACTACATGCCCGGACACACTGTATAGACTATAATTCTGTGTTGTGATGAGTAATACGAACGATTTCATACTATGGAATAATTTATATTTTATGTTTTTAACTGATTTAATAAGAAATCTGACAATAAGAGCCCATATTAAGAAATATTATTTTTATCTCAATATAATATTTTCCAAGAGTTAGAAGTTCTAGGTAAAATGGAATGAAACACGACTAAATAATTTAACTTTTATTGAACGTAATTTATATTGTATGAATTATTACATTGTTCTACGAAACAAAAGTAATACATAAGGTTAGATTTATACAGCTACACTGTACACACGTAGAAACTAAACCTCTAGAAGTAGCCAATAGGTATTATTTAACGCATATTATCTACCTCTAAGATATTTAACATTAAAAGTTAGTACCTACAATCGAATAGATCCTTAAACTTAAACTGTTTATATAAATATTTTTACTAAAAATATTATTGTATTTCAAATATTACTTTTGGCACAAACAAAATCTAGAACGTACGTTGATGGTTGTTGAGCTGAATAACAAACACCAAATAACTTTATACAAAATAATATTTAAATTCAAATACATAAAGCTAATAATTAGGCAAGATTTCGTAACTATAATTACTCAAACATCTGTTACGATTCATTCCGAATTCTTACCAACAAATGCTTACAAAATTCGAATCAATTTAATAATCTAGCTAAAAACTTAAACGTTTTTCATAAAAATGCAAACTATTTTTAATATTCAAATAAAATTAAGCACCACAGTTAAAAGTTCGCCACATTTTAGCGTTAATTAAATTATTCTAGGCATTAGTAAACATCAGTTAAATTAGTTAATGTACTCGGTAATTTGATGAATAAGGTACTATTGAGTTACCTACATGATTCGAAATCTGCATAATGCCTTATTAATATTGAGATCCAATTAAAGTACCTATAGGTATCGCGCATATCAAAGTACTAGGTAGGTATTAGGCCAGTAGAATTAAACACAAAAATTGATTAAATCGGAAATAATTCCTACAAAAGATTTTTTTGCTTTAATGGCTTCATTGGTTGCCCATTAAGACTCTCCTAAGTTTTCGACTTCGACAGAGTTGTGCTTATGTGGTGGGGGCCCCCGAAAGGGGCGTTTTTTCGGTTTTCCGGTTATACCGCGTAAAGGACTTACCCTATCGAAAAGTGATCTTCATGACGGTTAAAGGTCACTTAATCCTGCATTGAATAAGACCAAATTCATATGTTTTGGACAAACCGTTCTCGCGCTAAAGTTCGGCAAAGTAGAAAATATACGTATAATTAATGACCCTCTCCACGTCNAATAAAGCGTAACGTTTCATGAAAGATTTCCTTTACATTATCTGTTGTTAGTCAATTAAGCATACTTGTAGGGGCTAGAATTAAGTTAAGATCAAACTGAATTTTTATTTTCGATAAACAACTTTAAATACGTCTGTCAAATTGTTGTGCAGTTTAAATCAGCAGTGGTCACAACATTTAAAGGTTTACTAAAAATATTTAATATATCATCAAACGTCAATCTTCTGCAACGTTAAAAACAAAATATATTGTTTTCAGAGTAACAGTCATATCAAAATACTTACAAAGAAGTGCGTATCAGCGTTTCTTAACAAAAGGTAATATGAAGGAGAATCTTCGAAGAAAGTTTCTATTGACTAGTCTAACGAAGGGTCAAGCGTGTATTGTGGACGAAGTATAACTGGATCTGGACATGTCTGGTAACGAAAGGCTGCGTCCTCTAATTGTCGTAACGGTCTGAAGCTGATTTCGCCCAAAAACCTGTAAACAACGTCATATATTATTATTTAAAACATGTGCCAGCTACATACTTATAAACAAACGCGATATTTAAATAAAAAAATAATGATGACGATAAAAATTTTAAATAAAAAAAATCAGTGAAATAAAAAAGTTTCAGACAGGCCACTGACATCCAGCCAATTTAGCAGTGGATGTCCTGTGGCTGAAATGAAGATGAAGAACTAACTTTGACCGAATCATAAAATTAAATATCATAATTTAACCAATCTTTATTTTGATTGCACTGCAGAATAAAGGCCTCCTCCTTAGAGGATCATGTAACTTAATCCTATCTCGTTTAAAATAAATAGTTCTTTGTTTTTTTAACTTTGCGTACCTATAATCCCTGGGTTCGATTTGTTTACCAACATTTTGGGGAGGAAAAAGGCCTAAATAAATAAAAAAGAATATGATTTCAGCTAGGGTTGTCATCTGGAAAAAATCTGACATGGTTATATTTTTCAACACTTGTCCGACCAAATGTTTTCTACAAGTAGCTAACTAAGAATAAATAGAAAAGATTATGCAACTAAAAGACAATGCCGGAAATTGGCGTCTATTTTTTTTCGCGCGGCCATCGACCAAACCATGTTTTTTGGATACAAAATAGTAAAATAAACCAAACTTACTTTGACATGTATACCTCTAAACTCAGTCTGAACTGAGTTACGAGCGTTAGAAGTTTGATGATAAGAAATTGCAACAAAATAGTGACATTGTATGTATAAACAAACAATACCATCCATTAAAGGCTCCAGACATCAGTGTGGAGTAGAATCAGCGCAATAAAAAAATAGCGCAATATTTTGTTGCAATTTCTTACAAAACTTGCGCGCAAAAAGCAAATCTAGTATGTAAATCATCAAACTTCTAACGCTCGTAACTCAGTTCAGACTGAGTTTAGAGGTATACATGTCATAGTAAGTTTGGTTTATTTTACTATTTTGTATCCAAAAAACATGGTTTGAAAAAAAAAAAGACGCCACCTTCCATACAAAATCTGGCATTGCCATTTATTGAACAATTTGGTTTTCTAATTAAGTAAGGTCTGCAACGGCAACCCTGTCAGATCATTTCATCGTGTAATATTGTCCGTAAATAACAACAACTTATTGATCAATGCAAAATAATCTGGTTCCGAGAAAGCCAAATTTAGGTCACCCATGTATTTAGGTCATGGATTAAAAGTAATCCTTGCGTTCGGATATTTAAGGGAAACGTCCATTAAGTCATATGCAATATTTAATCGAAACACGGTGGAATATTTTCAATTTCCGTAATTCTTAAACAAGTAAGGTCTGAAGTCGTAGAAAGTCAAAAGATCTAAACTGAAATGAGTTTGTAAAGGTTTGTAAATCTATTTTCGTTCGGTATTTTCCGATGGTATAATTTCTTTTGTCAATATGTTTGTCTGTAAGTCCTTGGGATATTTATTATATTACCTACTGTGCTTGTAAGGGAACGAAGAACACCTTTAAAACAATGACCATTCACCACACCAATATTACTGAAAAAATCTCGTTTCCTATCCGCCTAGCATCTGCTTGCGCGCTACCTTCAGAAGAAGTCTCTGGCGAAGCACCTTTCATGGGATTGTTGATCGACAGCGACCGCATCTTGCGCTTCGCTCGCTCGTACCAATATTCATCCACAAACCTCGTTTCCCAACGTTCTGCAGGAACAGCCTGTTGGCGACGGCCTGCCTTTGGTTGGCCTCGCGCATCTGCTTGCGCGCCACCTCCAGAAGAAGTCTCTGGCGGAGCACCTCCATGGGGTTGTTGATCGACAGCGATGGCATCTTGCGCTTCGCCCGCACGTGACCGTCGCGAAGCTCCGCCATTCGCTGAGTGAATAATGTTACTTTAAAATTTTGGCGTTTTAAAACTTATTACTTACAGGAATTAAGTTAAGTAATCAAATATTACTTTTATATTTGCTTGACTTTTCGATCATAACCGATCGTGTATCTGCGTTAAAGTACACATATTATTGGTTAACGTATATGACATGAATGTTAGTAACGTTGTTGTAGCGCACGAAGTTCGGTGCGTTTTAACGACACATACAGAGACAAACTTAATTATTCATTCATGTAGATATTTTGTTATAATAAGTAGTCCATTATACACATAAAAAGCATGGTTATCTTTTATTATCTGCGGACTTTGGGCAAAGCAATCATTAATTAAAACCACGTAGACAAAAAAAAATGGTCATTTTGTTTTAAGTTTTGTTTAGTTATTTAGATAGGCACAAGTAGCCGATTATTAATCACGCTGTCAGTGTGTGATAATAATATGAATAAGTTGATGGCAAAGCCACGACACGATATACTTTAAAACTTACTGTAGGTTTACTTAGGTTACGTAGTTTTTGTAGCATGAAACTATTTTTTTTCTGTTCAGACACTTGCCTATGTCGAAACACAATAGGACGTTTTACTCATCGAGTATTATCCTAAATATTATATTATAACGAATTTCCAAATGAACGTTACTAATTATTAGAATATTAGTTAGAATTAACATTTCGGAATTTGTGTTTGTTACGGCGTGTGCTTTGATTGCTTTGAACATACACACCTACGAGTACCTACTCTCAGCAATTTACCGTTAATTTAACTATACACAACACCATACTTACTTTGAGATAAAATTAAATAACCCTGCCCATGACATTCTCTATTTCTATTATTATCCTCGTTAATTAATACCTTAATTATTATCCTAGAAAATAATACCTTAAGTATATTACTTTATGAAGAACGCTTAAAAGTTATTCAAAACCTTTTCACTGACTTTAGAAAACTGCAATCACTGAACTTCTGATACGTCAGTAATTTGATATTACGAGTATTCCCCCATTATAATGTACCTATACTTAGTGGCCGTCATATGATGGTCCCAGGAGACACAAGAAACTCAACAAAACACAACCCGTTACACATCTTAATTAAATGGGATAAATTCAATAAGACCTCACAGGGACAGCAAGTAATATAATATTAGGTACATTTATACCTACTTGTCGTTATTTCGAAATATTACTACATTTCGCATTTGGTTCGCAAAACCGTAAGCGAAACAATGTAATTAGATACAGGTAGGATTTACAGGACCGTGATACCCATCTTCTACAAATACAAGCTCCATCCCAATTTGTATCATACTGGAATAGGGATCGCCGATTCCGTATTACGTTTCAGTATTTTGGGCCTAATAAAAATACAGGTCTATAATACGTGGCGTGCGTAAGGATAACATATGTGAAATATGAGTAAGCAATTTGAAAAGAAAACAAATCTTGTATCCTGTAAAACTCATCCATTGACTATTAAAATGAATGTTTATACAAAAGGTTTTTTATATTATACCTACTCGTAGTTTTTAACATTTATTAAAGTTAGGTGTACCTGCTTAACTTTTGCTTCCGAATTGCCTGTAAGAGTATAATAGTAATGCTGAATAGTATTGTTTGTTATTTGTCTAAAACTAGATAATAAAATTATCGCCATACTTAATTATCCATCAGATTAAGTATAAGTAGGTAGGTACTTTTATTATGGAATATAATGAAAGAAATAATGTCTATCTCAGCCTATGACACATATGTATCATTCTTTCTTTGTATTACGAACGATTTCACAGTCAATGGATTCGAAGAAGTGATGGCAATTTGGTGAATTATGATAATGCTACACACGAGTAAATGCAACTTATGGAGTAACCATTATTTCAGCAGTACCTACCTACTGTTCCTGACGCTTCAATCTCTACACAGTTATAAATTAAGTAAGATCTGTCTATACGCTATGCAACGGATTTTAATGCAGTTTTCATCAAAAGATAATTGCGATTAGATGTAGGTACGAGTAAATAATTCGTTAGGGTTTTGTCTTTGTTGATTGAAATTAACAATGATTGTTATGGAGGTCTGAAAAACTCAAGTTATTTGGAAGCTTTCATCGGAAACGCTGCCTAACATAAACATTAATCATGTTGACTTACGAATTGGATGATCATAATATGTATAGTGACCAATTATCATTTTCAAAAGCTTTGTTCCCAATACCACATTTCGGTGAGTTCATAAGATGACTTTTATAACAATACCTTTGTTCATATTTCTACAAATAAGTATAGGTAGCTGCAATAACGTGACAATATAGGTAGTTACTGTCTATTCAACGAATAGCAAAGAAAAAGATTCGTATCCTCATTTCATGCAAGGAAAATAAATTCAAAGAGACGTTATTGGTGTATTATTGGCGGGTCTCTACAAATATGTAATAGTTCGCGTGTAACAGCTTGTATGATTAAAAAGGCTTATAACAAAAATAAATGACTATCGTAAACAAAAGAACTAACTAGGTACATACTGCGAAACATAAGTACTTACTCCTTTGTATTTAGGTAGGTACTTATCATTATTAGAAACAAATAGAGCCTATTTCAAATATTATTTTCTTATTTACATTTATTCATGCAGTGTACTTAATATTTAAAATGTTTTTTAAACAGCAAACAAAATCTGTACAGCCATTTCTTTCAAAAAGGAGGTCGTATGTACCTATACCTAATGTGTGTTCTATGAACTTCGAACTAAACACAGTTTACACAGTGCATAATTATTGTATGTTTGCTAAGATATTGTGGAAAACTTATCTCAAAGTTTCAGGCACAGAGTAGTAGGTACCTTTGTTAGATGAATTAGGAATCCTGTTTTTATATAGACGTTACTAGTACCAGTAACTATGAGATTTTCTAATACCTATAGTATAAAAAGTTAGTTGCATTTATGACTACTAAAATCTATGTCACTGTTCAGGTTTTTTTGGCGTGGGTTATCTTTACTGTAGGTATGTGGCAAGTGGTTTCGAAAGTGTAGTGTTTAGAATGTTCGTGTTCGAATTCTGTGTTTTTGTTTTAGATATTGAAAATTAATGTTAAGTACCCAGGTATACTTACAGTGTGTCCGGGCACGTAGTGATCAAACTTTAAGGGCGTGATCTATGGACAATTTTATCGATGAAAATACTTCAAATTTGGGGCTTGACCCATTTCTCAAAAAATTACAAGGCTTAAGTTTTTAATTTTTAGAATTCACCTCTTCCTTCAAAAACAAGTGATTGCGTGGGCACCTTCACTAATGAGCAAATATTTTATGTCATGCGATAGCTGATAAAATTATCTATTAGTAAAGTAGAACAGACACAAGTTTCATACATTTTAAGGGAGTAAGAATGGATTAAAGTAGAAAAAAACATTTCACTTCTTTTAACCAGGTCGTTAAAGTATGTTTTATTTGCATTGTATTATTAGTATTTGAGCTATTCAACAAAACGAATGTAAATTTATTAGTATTAGTAAATTTAGAAAACTAAAAATTAAAAACTTAAAGCCTTGTATTTTTTTCAGAAATGGGTCAAGACCCTTATTTTCATCGATAAAATTGTCCATAGATCACGCCCTTAAAGTTTGATCACTACATGCCCGTACACACTGTATATTCTGTAGTTAAGTTACCAACTTCCCAGATTATTTATGTTATGTTATGTGCTACTTTGATTTTACCTAGACTTTTTACTTGGTTCTGATCTGTTCTATTGGCCTTGTTAAGTGATTCATTAGTGTCATTTGTTCGATAATAAAACGTAATTATAGTATTTCTCTTGGTTTTATTTGATTTTTCTCTATAATTAATATTGATATTTCCCTTTGTACTCTATGTGTCCCTGTTCACATCATTCTCATAGATTGACTAAAACACTTTATCTACTAACTTCACTGAAAAATATTTACGAGTAATAAAAGCTGCACTGTTCAGGAATGTTCGTAACATGTGCAAACAAAAGCCAAAATTTACTTTGAAAGGATCATAAAATGAAAGGCAAAATTTTCCAACAACGTTTATTGCATTTTAATAATTTTTACGACACGTATAAACTATGTTGTGTACTTTACATATTACAGTAAAACATACAAATAAATAATTTAAACTCTACTTAAAATTAAAATTTAGACATGTTTCAAAGTTTTCCTTCTAAAATACATATTTTTTATTTATATTGAAGACTTTTGCATTAAGTTTTCACTACTCTACATATTGGTATATTTTATGACATCCTATAATATTATAAATAGACTTTGAGATCTCATGAAACTTTTTCTACAATAAGTACATTATTTATCTATCTACACTTGAGAAATGTTAATTAAATATTAATATCTTTGAAATCTACAATGTAGTGAGTCACAATTGTCACAAATTTCTAGGCAGGTAGGTATAATTTAAATCAGTTCAAACCAATCAAAGAAAAGCGATCGCACTAGACATGCTTAAAAATATCTTGCGTTTTCGGAGGGCGCCCACTGGAAACCTGGAAAAATGAAAACCATGCATTAGGTACTATCAAATAAATTTCATTTTTCATCAACCTAAAATGGATAAAATTCATCATGCTATAACAATCTGATGCTTCGAAATGATACATAGATTGCTCAGTGCAGCATGCATTATGTATGGTGGATTATTGAGAAATTGGGTATCATCATCATCATTCAGCAATGTTCAGCACGGATAGATCATCAGTATAGTAGAAAATAATACCGATTCTGGGAGGTTTAATTTATAAATTCTTATAAGGATTATATTACGAAAGGAAATACAATGACGGGCTTAGTTGCCTCACCACGACATTTTCTACCAAAAAATATTAAGAGTAATGCAGAAATAATAAGTCAATAAATCTTATGTCTAAGGATAGTGCTCCAATTAAATGTTCGTTAAGCAAACAAATGTACAGTTTTTGAATTTGTTATTTATGCTTGTACTATCGGCAACGGTGTTAACTATCCAATGCCTGTCATCTCGTTTTATCGCAAAGAATCACCATTTGATAGTTAAAACACTGTGGCCGATAGGACAGTCAACACTCGTATAGTCGACTCGACGACGACGGAGACTTGTAGAGTCGCACATCAGAATACCAAATATCAATCCTATCAGCCAATTACGTGAACTATATTTGACAATATCGCGTCTATTACAACTAAACAAGGTGCTGTTTCTCCTGTCAACCAACCTCGCTTGCCGATGTCGTTCAAGAAGTTCCTGTTGACGGCCGCCCGCAGCGCTTGCACCTTCCGCTCCTTCTCCAGGCTCAGTTTCTGACGCAGCACCGACATCGGCAGGTCGATCGACAGGGACGGCATACGCCTCTTCACCCGACCGCTCGCCTTCGCCCCAAGGTTGGATTAGCCATTCGACAGTCAAATTTTGTAAAAAAAAGAAAGAGAAATAAGACTGAAAAAGAACGTTAAAGCGTTGCTATTGAAGAATTTTTAAACTATCTGATAAATTAATCTCGCTCTTTTAATATGTATAAAATACTAGGAGTCTGGCTAAGATATGGTCTCGAACCATACATGGACTTGATTGATTTAATTAATCATTCTTCATAGTAACTAACTAATATTTAACTAACTAAGGCCCGATTCGACCAAACTTTTATCCGAGAATAACTCCTTATATAACTGGCACATTGACAATTTCATTATGGGAAATATGTCAAAACTGACGATTTATTCTGAGATTAATATTTACTCTTCTTTGGTCGAATCCACCCTAAGATGGTTCATAGTTTTTTCAGTATGTTTTTCAGAGGTTGATTCTTTAAATTTCGATAGCAGAGCTTTCATTGTCAATAACCCTGTTAAAATACAAAGCTTGTAACGTTGCCCAACGTAAATACAACAATATTTCATAAATATTTGTTGCAACATACATCCATAGCAGTTACGAACTGCCTTTTCAAGTCCCCGGATATTAAACGGTGGCGTGATGGAAGAAGTTGAACTAAAAACGACAGATTGAAACTAGCTTTTGACATATTTGCAATACAAGGTGTTAGGTAAATGGGTATATGAGCCGACACTAGCCCATGTTAACATGGGCATATAAATGGTATGGTGAAGTCAGAAATTTGATATCATCATTTAATTTTTTTTAATTTTCATACAAAATAAATTTTATAAAATCCGATTTGTATGAAAATTAAAATAATTAAAATTAAGATACAATTTTCTGACTTCACCATACCATGTATATGCCCATGTTAACATGGGCTAGTGTCGGCTCATATACCCATTTACCTAACACCCTGTATACTAGAAAGCTAGCGCAGTTTGGAGCAAAAGTGAAATAATAGGCTATTGCTATCGCAATTCCCTCGAATTGGAGTTCATAACACGGGTACTTATTTGGAAACTACTAACTAAAGTTACTTTCGGATTGTTGAAGTTGGGTCTATATCATGAATAGCCTTTAGATACTAACTTAGACGTTGCCGTTAGCAATTTATATTAATTCATGTACTAATCTCCCGCAATTTGTAAAATTGAATAGATTAACTCTTTGGCTCTGCATAATTCTATTTGAAATTTTAAGTATTAATGTTACAGATTTAATAACTAGGGCTGAGTTGAACCATCATATTTTACCCGTAACTTTAACAATAACCGGTGCTTTTTGTATGGAGTTTGACAGTTTTTTGACGTTTGTCAAAGTCAAAGTAGGATGGTGCAACTCAGCCTAAGAATTTTGAAGGTGAAATGATTGAAGCATATTTTAAAGAGATTTTATTTCAATCGCAACAATGGCTCAAGGATGATGTAACATTTGTGTAAATAAAATTAACAATATTTTGTACAGAGGTATTTGGAAGCGTTTACGCTAATATCGACATTTCAATGTAATACTTAATAGCAGCTTCGATGGTCTTCAGTTCGCCAGCCGGAGCAGTTGCACTGGATCTAGAAACGTACAACTTATTTTATTCATCTTAAAAGTTGAAGATGAACACTACGACTACAGACTACCTTCATGCATAGATACAGTGATCTGTACCGTAGCAAACTCTACTTTGGAGGCTTCTACTTCTACCCAACTACAGATCCACAGTCAACAGCAAAATCTAGGAACACGTACTACCATTTCAAAAGTTTTCAGACATTTTAGTTAAGTTTTAACTTACGTTACGATTTAGGGTAGTAGGTAAAGAGTTTTAGTATCTTCTACATCCTTATTTGGTAATGTTCGTCGCTGTTCGTCTTCGCCACACTCACCTCTCTTTCCCACTCGGTCTAAAAAGTTCCGGTTGTTTTTGGCCAGCTGCTCCCTATAACTGATGTACGCGTTGCGTTGGAGCAAGTCCGCCGCTGGGTTCACAGAGAAGGATCGGCGCGCGCGCACCGCTTGGCTACTTGCCACCTTTGCACACATCTTACTTAGATTTTGTATGTTAAATAAAATACATAAAAAACAGCTCGTTACCGTCACAGAAGAACTTAAAAATGGCGAAAAAGTATACCTAAACATCGTCATTAGTAGAAAAATTCTGGCCAGAGATGGAGCTGAAGAAATAAACGAGCAAGTCTTCTACTCTTTTACTTTTTACACTAAATTGTTAAGGTTTCATCTTACTAAGTGCTTCTAGATCAAGTGTCGTTATACTTAGCGTCAACAAACTTGTGCAATTTCTCTGGCACAAAGTAAGCGTAAAATTCTTTATTAATAGATATACAGGATGTTAAAGTACAGGTAGAAAAACTTTGTGGTTGATTTGAAATTTCGTAGACAATAATAAGAAATGCATTCAAAGCAAGCTTACGCAATTCAATATTTTAAAGTGATAGAAATCACTAAGTTAAGTTCCAATTTCAGTAAAATCAATCTGGCACTACGAAATCGGGTTTTCCTAAAAGCAAAGAGGAATTAATAAAAAACGTTCGGCGTTCATTTTCCAGGTAAATGCTTGGATCTCATTAGTCCTTTGAACGAATTCGGAAAAAGCTTTAACCAATCTATGCCTACACCCTGTATAGGTAGGTAATTTGAGTGACAAACATTATCTTCAGCAGGGGAATTTTATTTTCTAAGAAAGCCACAGTACTTTCAGAGGTGCCGTCTCCAGTTGACATAGTAATTTGTTCGACTAATTACAAAGAGTTTTTAACCCCTCAAAAGGTCAACAGAATCTAAAGCGATTAAAGAACAAAACTTCCCTCAAAGTTGATCTCTTGAGGAGTGGTAGTAGGTACCATCTAATTTGTATGCCATTAAATAATATTATTTTAATTCGAATCGAGAACCTAATTAGCACCTAACTGGATATAATTAGATTTTCAGTAATAAAAGAATGAGGCTGTCATTAATATTGCTGAATGAATAGGCGCTCCGAAAGAAGCTTTTGAGGATATAATATTTAAAATCCAGATTCTTAATGAATAGGTTCCATTAAAAAGCTTCAGTTACACCATCAAAGAAATATGGTTACCGTAGAAAGGCATTAAACCCTGGGTAAATAACTAAAAGATGCCGCTTTTATAAACAGATGTAACCTTTTCATAAAAATGTAACAAATGTTTTATTGCCAAAGTGTAAATAAATACCAAAGTAAACTAAAAATGAAAGGATTTTGTCTACCTGTGGAGCCTTTGGGAAATCAAATTTATTGTTATCGCTATTAGATGAATTTACTCTCTAAGGAAAAAATACTCAATGCATTTTTTTTAATGCATGGTTGCTATGACGAGTACTACCTAGTTACTTACGTGTAGTATTAATAAAAAAATTTAGTACACACGCATTTTGTCAAACTAAGTAGGTAATACTTTTTTCTCTACACTCTTGAATATTTACAAAGTGAAAAATAAAGTAATCTAGTACTAATAGTTGGACATTCGTTACCTGTGAGTCACGTGGCATCTCTGCTAGGAGGTACAGCCATGGTGCTCCAGAGCCGTAGCGGCCTCCTATGGGAGGCATGGCGTAGCTGACACCATCCTGTTGGAAAAACAAAATGTGAGAAAAAAGTTCTAGGAAATCCAACTTAGTGAAATAGTTAAGTTAAAATAATTAAAGTGAATAGTTATTGTCATATCGTCCACGGCTGGACAAAAATCTCCGCCAAGGATTTTCACAACGACGCGACCGGCCCTGAGTTTTCCACGACCTTCACCAGATTTGTCTGAAACGAATCCGAACGACGAATATTTATTGCTAAATAGATGCATACGAATAATTAAATCGCCTTTTTTACACACGACTGAACACCGTAATTTTCCCTCTTTCCAGTTTATGATTTTCTAATTACGATCAGCTCGTAGTAGGTAAGCCTAGTTTACACAGACTAACATTTTCTCCGTAGCCATTCGGGTATACAAATGTTTTACAGCAAAATTTTCTACCTGCCGAGCACACACACGGACCTATTTCAAAAATATTTTACCAACTAAGTATGTCGGTACTACCACAAACTACGTTTCCCTGCGTTCAAGAAATAAAACAACCTAGCTAACAATGTAAATAAGAAAGTTCATAGCACATAAAATTTGGACGTGAGACAATATAGCCTTCATATTTACATAATCTACGGCAAATGATTCCATATTTTCTTTGTATTTCTTGGAAATCTAACTTTGCTAGTTTCCTAGGTTTTATAAAGAAATCGTGGTGGGATATTTCAATATTTTTCATTACATAAGTAATTTAAAACTAAAAAATGTCGTGAGAATACTTAACGCAGAACATGACACTCGGAACGAGCAAATTACGGCCCGCATCTCTCTGACAATGAGCGTGTCCTTTCCTTCCTTATTTCTTCTTTTCCATTGAAATTCTTAACGAGCATTATTAAACCTACCGCACAATGACACCCTTGCAAACGCACCATTGCAAATTGCAGAAATAAAGTTTTCAGTTACTCCAGTTATGTCCTTAGCACCTAAGACGTGTTTTGTTTTCAATAAAATTACGAATTACGATGTACACGATTTATTCAAATCGGACCTGAGAAATCGGATCAAATGGGACTTGAATATTGAATGTCGTCTAAAAGGGATTAACTTTAAGGGATGACTTCCTGTAGATTCCTTCTCGGTAGTCGAGTGCCGACGATGTTTTGTAATTAACGATGGATTCTAGGAATGCATTTCCCGTCCACAATGTTAGTAGAAATGTCATTTGGTTCCCCTGGATGACAGCTAAGTTAATTAACGCTCGTTCGCACAGCTGCAACTTGTAAATCTCAGGATCTACGGCCAAGCCTCCAATAAAACCCAACCAGTGAAAGCTGAGTAATCCTTAGGAAGATTGTCTTGAAGCAACTAACTTCTGAGGCGAGGCTAGGAAAAAGGAGTGATCCTATTGTTTTTTTTTCGCACACTGCATGATGGAAAAGCAGTCTTAAACACTTCTAAGAATGTGATCACTACTTACGTCATCAGGCGCGGGGGGGTCAATCTGTACGAGGTCGAGGGGTCCGAGGGAGTCGGGAGCTGGCGCGGCCGCTGCGCCTGCGCTGCCTGCAACCACCGCCGCGCACCATACCGCCCACCACATCTGAGAATATAATAACAACAGCTCATTTATTTAATCTCCACAGCTGGAACACATCCTGTCGAATAATAGCAGAGGCAAATGGAGGATTTGGACTACACTCAGGACAACTACTACCTATAAACAGGAGGCCTAATGTTACGAGTATATATTTGTTCCTAACTGGATTAGACCCTCTTTTAGGACCGGTGCAAACTGATCACGATCCCGAATCGAAACCGAATGTTACGCTGTCAATAAGGACTGGTGTTACAAAAAAAGTGTGAAACGATTAAGCTTTGAAATTTCATCAAATGGACATCATCATAACACTACATTATCAAGTGTTGAAGTTGCATAAAGTGTTTTGTAGGATTCTGAAGTATTTTATCTGTTTTAAAGCTCCACAGTGCCAACTAACCAACCAACCAAGATATTAATCGATGCTGATTTTTACTTTTGATCGACGATACACTAATATTTCAACTAAGTAGTTACAAACGTAAGCAGTTTTCCAGTTGTGAGTCCGCCGATGCTTTAGAAAAACGGAGGCAACTTTGATTACTTCCCCAGGATACTTACATCATTTGCCCCACTTGTTTGAGGTGCTATGAATGTTCAAAACGCGCATTGAGCCACGATCGATGTGAGCCTCAGACTCTGATTATGACCGACATCCCACGGGGCGTGCATTTTTGTTAGGTACCTCATAAATATGCAGGAATCACATTTTCTATTCTGATCGTGCCTCGGAAATTTTCTGCAAGTTTGCATGTAGTCAGACTCTAACTTTGTTAAGCACGTGAAGGCATCAACATCGGATAATCTTTTGCCTAAGTACTACAAAATTGTATAGTAACTTAGTACAGATGAACCCTGGGTCATATCAGGGCACACTTCTAAGCTATAGTTGATTTTGCTTGTATTACATAGCGAGTGTTATAAAAAAAGTTGTGATCTTTAAAGATTCCTCTGGAACAACAAACAAGTTGAAAAAAACTCTTAATTGGTTTAAGTAATTGTTTTCTGCTGTAGTAGGTAAGTTTCATTCTTTACAAAAGCACTTGACCGTAGAATGCACAACACTGATTGACTACTTCTGGTATTCTCCTTACGGTAACTAGATTCGATTCGAATCACGCTCGATTGGCATTCCGACAGAAACGTCAAACTCAGGGCATGCTTTCATTTTCCTTTCAATGGAAAATATTACCGCAATAAATACCGCGAGTCAGCGAATGCGACAACTTAATCGTTCCTTCATTTTGGAAGGGAAAATATTTATTTTAAGTTACTAATATGAGAAACAGTATAATAAAACAGAAATTATAGCACTTGCGATAGAGGGAACATAATGCATTTAACAATAGCTCTGTCACATTAGAAACAAAACAAAAGAACATCTTAAATCATATAAAAAGTCCTAAACGCCTAAAGCATTTAAGTAGGTGCGTGCAATCTAAGGTCATCCATCCTACATCCCTTGCAAAGGTTACTAAGTAAGGGTAACCTTCCAACAAATATCAAGTTCCGGAAAATCCGAAGATCATTAAATCGACGGGACAAACGGACAATGTCATTCATCCTTGTTCTCGTCATTTTCTAACACCACAAGGCCGCAAGAGTATCATATTTTAAATGTCGAAATAAAAGAAGAGAGCAATGATATCTCTTTTCTTAGGTAATTTAGCACATTCATTGTACTGTCCAGAAACGGGGCACATTATTTAAAACAAAAAAAAAATGGTTATTGCGTGGACTATTGAACTGTAAAATTTTATTTTAAATCAAATGGTTCTTGTTGCGTTGCTTTCAAAACATTTACAGTTCAATTCACATTGTACCGTGGGAGAAGTCATCTGGAATCCAATTGGGTACAATGTAATTACAGGGCATCTGCAGAAGGGAATGGGTTGGAATCAAATAAAAAAATGAGTTCAAAAAACTATGATACCTTACTGTGATGGATGAAGGTCTCACTCTAAAGAAGGTATCAATAAACTAAGTACTTTCTATCCATTCAAATAAAAATATCAGGCTACATTAATATTTATGAAGAAAGCAAAAATAATAGCGTCGTAGTTTTTTCATTAGCAGAACTGAAATAAGATTTTAAAACTTATCTTAATTTTTTTTCATCTACCTACATATTTCGATAATTATTTAAAGGTCGTACAATTAATTTGGTAATTTTACTTTCTAATTGCTAGGTATTTAAATTTGTAAAAAACTTGATGTTTTTGTGGAAAAGAATTTCATAAAAATATTTCTCAACCACAGGGATATTTATTTTAATTACGCAATAGTGTCGCCGTTTCACCGGTGAGTTCGCACTTGTCGGCTTTTAGATGCACGTCAGATAATCGTCGCGTGGGGGATTACCGTGACGTCACGTGGATGTACCCTGGCATAGACAACTTAACTCTATATTTAGGCATCTCGAAAAAGGCCAACGAGTCCGCTAAGCTAAGCTTTAGCACAGACAGGCCTAAAAGGTAAACGCACTCGCTAAGCGGTAGTAGGTATTTCTGTATGTTTGTTACTTTTTCAAGCCTAAACCATTTTTAGTGACTTAGATATTATGTAGAGAAAACACATTGAATGTCCTTCATATTTACGGAATGGTTACATTTTCTTAAAAGGGTGAAAATTTTAATAGGGTGAAATAGGGAATGTAATGTTTGTCAATTACCACGTCTTATTTCTCAAGTTATGTAAGTTTTGGTAAGACTATTTTTTAATGAGAGACGATAGAATAGTAGTAAGATTTTACAACCATTATTGATTATGAGATGCGTCTAACTGATACCTACTTAGGGTATAAATTGACCCCACGCGTGCTAAATTGCGGGCAGGAACTAGCCTTTTACTATCCCATGTGCTTGTTACATCTACGTTTACTGACCATTAAATTATTCAACCGAAATCCACGTAATAAGTACGTCACCCATCTGGGGTAAGATCTACCTCACCTGTTGAAAATACGAGATCCTTTTAACGCGAACTCACGTGTCCGAGCAGAAGCTATCGAAATCGTTCACACAAAGCGGCGTGACATTCTGCCCCTTGTTTGCAGCGTTTTATTGGGAAACCTTTTGCCATCGACTATTCGTGTCCAACTTGCCTTTTGAAAAGCACCTTTCAACTTTAACAAGAAGAAAATTAAACTCGAAATTGTGTCTATACTGTTATATTCAAGTAAAACGTTATAGCACTTCTACTCGTAGCTCTTACTACCTTGTTTTTGGTTTAATAGAACGGCCCGACAAATCCTCCCAAAACCCTTTCTTTTGTGTTTGAATGTTTCTGTCTGTTTCCCTTAAAGGTGCTTATCCTTTAAAATGCAAAATTTCGTACATAAATAATAAAGTAAATTTAAGTAGATGTAGCATTTCGTGGAGATAATTTAAATAATCTGCGTGAACTCATTACTTCACAAATTCAAATGAGTAAGTACTTACTTATATTTTATGATAAAGGACAATGTAGCAAACATAATCCAATTAGATGCACCTGTTGTTGACGGCTAAATTACAATTAGTAAATTAGGTTATTTTCATGCAAGAGAGTGAATAATTAGATTAGTGATTAATTATTACATGCGACGCAATCATGATAAGTAAAAATACTTTTGCTCAGATAAGTGTTTGCAATTTGCTTTAATAAAGGTGTCTGAAAGCGCCAATGAGAGAAGTGAGTAATTTCAGGCTACAAGTATTTTGAATGTGTAATATGAATCACTTTATTATACTTTTACTGTAATTAAATTCCATTTTGAATCACTTACTTCATTTTATAGTACCTACCTACCTTATTTAGAAGCATTTAACTCACTACACTATTACTACTTTCAGTAAAATCGTTTTTGCGATACTCCGTCAAGTTTTTTCACACGCACTCGTATAGCGTCAGTTAGAGCGAGTGAAAAAACCAAAGACCAAAATTACGAAATCATTAGCCGGGGTAGGGTGCCTCATTATTGAGTAGAGCTACACGGTGAACATCTACACTTATGTCTTTGTATATCTAAGTATGTCTAAGTAACGAAAAAAGCAACAGATGGTGCCGACATTAGAGAAATCACGTCCTAGAGTACGCCCACAGGATACTGTTTACAAAGGCTTAGGATCCTCACTCAAACAAAATCTATTTATGGTTGTCCACCTGCTCTCTCCAGTCAGCGATAAACACTCGGACAACGCCAATTAACTGAGTAACGGACTAGATGTGTTATTTGTATTGTATTTTGGTAGTTTTATAAATACTGTAGTATAAATAGAATAAAGGTCATCAGCATTAACCAGTAACATTCACTCCTACAGGTAGAGGTATAACTCCTGGTTACTTATGTAACTCCTATTTGAAATCATTGAGATTGCGGACCTAACTACATTTGAACCTGCGATAAAATCTCCAAAAATCACGCTATCAAAAGAAATGTGGGGATGTAACAATAAAGAACAAGAGCCGTGAGAGTAAGAACAATAGGGTTCACTCGCGCTGTACCTATTGATGCTAGGGATTGAAAATGTCGATGTGAAAAATATTTTTAAGGCAATTCCTGCAGGAGATTTCAGTTTATTCATTCTTACTTTGAAACATAAAACCTATGCTGCCGTGCTAGCGATATCAGGAGTAAGTCCAATTTGGCAAAACTGAGTATACCTACATAGATCGAGAATCAGGTTAATAAACTCTTTCAGGTGAGCTGACAGGCGTTATAATAGCAAGAATTGGAGTTACTGCTGATATCGCTAGCACGGCAGTATACTGGTCCAGTGGTGGGCTTTAGTCCAAACGGACGTGAGCTTACGAAATGGAAACTTGTGGTAATAAACTATTGAGTACCTAGAATTACAACCCATATCAGATGGATCGTATTTCCAACTGTAAATCCGCTCGTTTCTTTCCATAAAGTTAAGTTCCAAAAAGTAGAGTAGAACTAATAAATAAAATAGATACTGGCTATACTACTTTTAAAGGATTACATGCGATAATACGACATCTAAAAGGACAGACGACCTTTCAACTATTAGTGGCTAGCTAAAGTCATTTTTGCTGCGTAGGACTGAGTGGGAGAAGAAATGTTTTCTAAAAAAATGCAATTTGCTGGACACTATTTTGAGCATCCATTTTGCGACCAGCATACCTACATTTTCTAACATTTCTGAAACCTACGTACATTATTACATTATTAGATAGATACCTATAAGCTCTGATATTCTTCCACATTTTTCAGCACTTGCTCGCATTTTTTTTTCAAAGCAGTGGTAAGGTTAAAATTATACTGGGACCTGTAAAAGCTTGCAACACCAAAAAAAGGTTTAATTTCTTAATCACTAAACGTGTTTACAAGTAGGTATTTTTCTTTTATTATTCAAGGGACAAACAAATGGATCACTTCATCCATTCCATTCATGACATGAGCTGTACAAAAACAAAAAACAATGCTCCATGTAGGGGTAACCTTCTCTTTCTATGATCTGAGGGGTAACCCTAAGCAGGCCATTGTGGTGTAAGCGTGGATGGTTACGCTGGATTAAAGTCTCTACGACTTCGGAATTGTGCTTTTAATTAAGTGCCTATGTTTTTTGTTTAGGTACGGTAAACTTTTTTATTGAAATACTTATAGAATCTGAGACGTGTTTTAGTGAATTTGGAGATCTCTTTTTCAAAATACAATACGGTGAAATTCCAGACATTTCTTTCTCCAGACGAAATGAAAATAGGTAGCTTAAATATAGTTTCTGAACATACCGTAAGTTTGAAGCAGCGTATTAAAAACTCGCGATGAAATCGCACATGAGGAGTTGACATCAAGAATGTGCTCTACGATATCGACCTAAACATAACTCAACTTTATTAATTTGTCCACGCGTGTACTTAAGTTTGAACGATTCAGCTAAAGGTCCCAGACATAATTATGACGATAGAAATAATTAACACTAAGGTATGAATACACATACACTCAAAACTTAAGTCGTTGCTAAATGAATAATAACAAATTATTTTGAATCTTAAACTTTGTGAAACTTAGAAAACCTATTTGCTTATATTAAAAATAATACTGTGGTTAAACATATTTTATGAAATTGAGTTTAAAAGATTTATACACTCACTAATTTAAATACAAAGCGTGTTATGATGAAGGGAAAACAACGAATAAGGGATAGTCCTGAACAAACTCATTTTAATACCCACAACACAGCTGAACGACTCCTTTATACATAACTCATCGATCAATCCTTTTAAACCTCAACAGTTTTCTGCTATTTTGTGTTCAGCCATTATGTATATTTTCTTAATCTCTCGTGATGGATTATGGGAACACCTAATGAAAAGTTTACTCGAAGCTCAAATCTAGCGTAAAATACAAAAATACCTACCTACTTCCTTATTTTACGTTGCCAATCCCCAAAAATATGATAATCCTCTTTACCTCACAGACTTGCCTTTATTTTTAAGTAGATTTTGTTAAAGAGTTTTATTTCAGTATTTTTAAATAATCGTAGAGTTTTTGCATTTTATGATGATGAATTTCATAAGCCAATTTCGTAGTTCACTTCGTCAGTTGCTGTTGACGTTAGTTAAATCCTTTCTATTCCATCTGTCTATCAGCAGAACCATTTAAAAACACATTCGCAAATGGAGGGTACTCGATCATTTTTCGTTATTTTAGTGGGTGATAGCTAGTAGACACAACAAATGACGGTCGTTTTTCACCCGACAAATCTGCTGAAAATTGTCGACGAGACTATGTCATCCGTTTTCATGAAGTATAGTGCGCGTAATACTTAAAGGGACCTCTTGTTGAACGGTCAGCAGACCGTAATAAATCTTTGGGATCACGATATTTTTCTTCAGATAGTTCTTATTTAAACAAGATAAGAAATGTTTTGCATGAAAACCATTTTGTCAAGTCAAAACTATTTTGGGACGCTACAATGACATTTTATGAATTTTAATTTTTTATTTCTTATTGGTATCCCTGTGGGTCTAGACAAAGTGCAAATTATAATCGCAAACCAGTCGAAAAGTGGTCGAAAAGCCCCTTTCTTGTATGGAGTTTTGACAGATTCGATTTTCGATTCGATCAAAAAGTGCGTTTTGTCTAGGGGGGCTGGATTGTAAGGGAATCATGCATAAAAATGAAAATTTAAACTTATAACCTGCCAATTACCCAGGTATTACGTTTTTTATCGGTCGCAAGAATTTTGGAATGTGTAGGTATATGGAAAGGTCACCTCCACGCGGGCTTAATCTTTTTCTGTCGTAGCGTTTGTTTTAAATTATTAAGGTCATAACCCTGATTAGGCTTAATTTAATAGACGTCATACCATAATAATACCTGTACAGTAAATGTTGGCAAGTAGAGGTTATTGACAAAGGCGTCCACGATTATTAAGATCCGAACCTAAAACTTCGAACTATGTGGGTAACCTTCATAACGAACTTATGCAGTTTGCGACAAAGCGATTTTCGCCCGATGTTCAGTTCAGGAATGCCGATCGAGTCGTCGACTCGAATGTTTGAAACGATTTCACGCTCGATTGACGAAGGTGTATCGATTATCGATTTCGTCAGCGAAAGAGGCGCTGTCCGGTGCGGAAGCGCCGGCGGCCCGGACGTCCGGGATTGCTTGGATGCCCATATTTGCGGATCTGACCGTGGCACTTGTTGCTTGTACAGCTGCTATTCAAGTCACTCGCAATGTAAAGGTGAAAAGTGTAGTCTCTTTCATGAAACCAATTCACAGAGATTCGATGTGTAAACGAGGAAATTATTCTTGGAATAATCTTTAGAATTTTATTAAAACATAAAAATTTACCGATAGTTTGTGGTTAAATGTGAAACATTTTATATCTATTTTTGATACCTTTGATATTGTGTACCTAAATAACTTAGGATTATTCTTACATGAAGGGTTTAACTTTATTTTTATTACTACACAAGATGAGATTCTATTGAAACACGAACAAAGCGTGGTCGAAACAATGTAAGCATGGATGTTGATAATCTGCTGGCGTAATTAGAACCATAAATTGCCCGCTTAGACCTTTTCAACCGACTTCAAAAAAGGAGGAGGTTCTCAATTCGACGCGTATGTTTTTTTTTTTTTTCTATGTTTGTTACGCGATAACTCCGCCAATTATGAACCGATTTGAACAAATCTTTTTTCGACGTATAGGTAATACCTCAAGGGTGGTCCCATTTAAATTTAATAATAAAAAAAAACAACCCCCAAGGGTGGAAAATTGGGGATGAACTTTTTTATACGCAATATCTCCGCCGATTATAAACCAATTTGAACGATTATTTTTTTGTTGAATAGGTATTATCAAAAGGGTGGTTTCATGCGAATTTGAAGAAAATATTTCACCCCCACGGGTGGAAAATTGGGGATGAACTTTTTTAACAACTTAACTGGTAGAAATCCCATTGAAACATGACTGTGTTCATGTCATTTCTCTAAATGGTACCTAGGCATGGTCCTACGCTTATAATGTAGAACATGGTTTAAATATACCATTTGTTGGCCCCACTCCTGAACTGTTGGACATAATAATGGATAAATAACTTAATGTATTTAAAATGTAAGTAGATAAGTATATTAATTAATAATATTTTTTGTTTGCGCAATAAAGCACCTATTGCTATTACACATTATGTCAATTTCCAAGCAAACCCGGGAGTTTTTGGTAGTTATTTATATGAAAATATATTTCTGATATTAAGTCCTAACAAATAATAGTAGTTACATTTCTGTTGGTTTTACGCCCAGATTCCATAGAAAAGTGCCCATCATCCTTTTTCTGAATGAAGGGAGTAAACAAATAAGGAAATGACCATAACCCTTATGGAATTAGAGCACAAGAACAATTATCCATTATGCTCCGGACTCAAACGTGAACCGGACAATCTTCCCCTGAAGCTTTTAAACGCAATATTTCAAGATAAGTTCTTCTTTTGTTTTTATGCAAGATTCTACACAGGTGTCTAACATGACTTGATAATACATCGTTCGTTCGTTCGTTTCAGCCAAATGACGTCCACTGCTGGACAAAGGCCTCCCCCAAGGTTTTCCACAATGAACGGTCCTGCGCTGCCCGTCTCCGGGCTCTTCCCGCCACCTTTACCAGATCGTCGGTCCACCTAGTAGGAGGCCTGCCCACGCTACGTCTTCCAGCCCGTGGTCGCCACTCGAGAACTTTCCTGCCCCAACGCACCGACTCCAGAAGTATCAATCATGGTATACCTACATAAATATTAATAATTCGTCCTAATAAATAAGTAGGTAATTAGTAATTATTTTTCTACGTTTTAGTGTAGGTTTTTTGGAGTCGGTTTTATTTTTTTTTTTATAAAATTTTACTTATTTATCGAGTGTTAATTAATCTGGAGTAATAACCTTTAGTATAAAAAGGTACTTATTTATTTGAGTGTTTTTAGTAGCTATTACCAAATAACCTATGCAAGTAACCTGAGAGGTTTTGAAAGGTCATAACTATCCTTGTAAAGCAATGAAATATTATTTATAGAAAAAGAGATTTTCCAATAATGATTTTAATTATAAAATAATTCTTCTTATGATTTTATTTATAAACCGAATCAATAATGTATGAATGTTGAAAGGCACTTGAACGTATTCCATAAGCCATAAAATACATAGGAAAGTCACTTACCATGTTGAAGTACGAAGAAAGGAGTATTTCAGCAAACAAAAAAAAATCTGAAACAAACAAATATCCAAATTAGAAAGAAAGATTAACACAGAATCATTTTCTTTGTCTAGTTAAGATAGCTCACCGTAATAAAGTTATTGCTAGGAAAATCTTGTGATTCGCCTCTCTACAGTAATGTTCCTGGTATTTCCTAGTCATTGTTTAAAGTTTTTAAGATAAGGACAGTCAACTACTTTGATCCAACTGCCAAGACACCCACACACCAGCAAGATTATTATAATGACTAATGTGTGAGATAGTTGAAACTGCGCAGAACTTAGTTTTGATGTTGTTCATAATTAAATAAGTTTGTCGTCCCTACATACCTCACACTGGCCATGGTCGGAATTCTATTACTTACATCTAATGCTGGATTGCTATCCGGTAAAGTTATGGCTGGCGATATGAACGCTTTGTTGTATTGAATGCCAAAATAGATGCAAATATACATAGTATAATAATTATTAATTTAAACATTAATCTTATGATCTAACGACTTGTCTTTCATAAATATGAATAAATAATATTATGATGATTTCAGAAACATAAACATCTGAGAGTTTCTAACGATATCTCGGGTTTAGCCTTCAAAACGACACGCAATCTAAAACTTTTCAGTCGTGTGGAGTATCCCAAGTTTCGAAGACACCGCTACATAAGTACATAAATATTGTTGATTGCCACATCGTTATAGTTAATTACATTTTACATTCACCAATGAATAGGTTCAGAATAATAACATATAATTATAATTAATTACCTACGTATGTGGTTTCTTGACTTGCCAAGCTTCCTTTAGATCGTAAACAAACAATTCGCGATAATTATGATGGTGGCTTGTTCGGATACTTCCAATTTGCAAGTAACCTCAAAGCGGCAATGGTTTTTAGAATATTAGAATACAGAATAAGGAAAATCTCGAGCCAATTGGCCTCTTTTGAGCTTGCACACTGGCTGCATGCTTTGGGATAAATAAAAAATAAAAATACATAGGTATATTTTATGTTACTCATGTCCATTATTCGGACTATAATCGAGTCAGCATCCGAAAACAAATGAGATTATCCGATAATTAATTGGAATCGAATACGAGGATGAGACAGGTATCATTGCAGCTGGGCTACGTGTTGCGGATGTAAGGCACGTAATGCAATATCGGCTATCATACTGGGAGGCGAGGGTGATCGACATGACCCAATTGGAAGACTGTGGACCTCCATTGAGGAGAGCCCGATTTGGCATTTGCAAATTTTAACTCGCCGTGACACTCATGTGGGCCAGAAAGACTCACTAATACCCAATTTGGGAGATACCTGTTTCTTTCTGGTGTAATTTATTTAATGTTAACTCTGTAATTCCGTGATTTCCGTGAGCCAAATACGCTCTATCTTAACTTGAATTTGCAATGTTTTCGCCAATTTTCCATAATTTAAAAAGAAAGTGACTCGACGCACCTGCACATTGCAGCGTAAGTAATAGACCAACAAATCTGTATGGCTCTATCCTAAAAGACATAAACGCCTTCAGGAAACATACAACGATCCTATAGTATCTACCGCGCTAAGTTGGCAAGCCGCGGAATTTCAACCCGAATTCTTCCATCAAAGTCCTACAAGTGTACTTCTGACGAGCCGAATTGTTTATGTTATTAGAATACTTTCGGAGAGCTGTTTCACCTTCAACCAGGTAACCGCCTACGGGCGAACTTAATTTCCTATTTTCAACTATATTGTCACGTCGCTAAAACAATGCTTGTTCAGGTTGAAGTGTGTCGATTGGATGAAATTTAAATTTGGCAAGAGACAGTTGCACACAATGGCCCTTGGACCGGAAAGATTTAACGCTACCGTCGTGTTTTGGGCCAGCAGGCTGTCAAGTTTTTCGAGTTAAAGGATGATGGGCATATTGGGCGTTAAACCAACAGAAACAAAAAGTATACTAAATTAAAGCTTAATACTAGTACTTCATTTCATAGTATGACAACAATCCTGAAATCAGCGGGGATACGGAGATAGAGGTCGTTGAATATGCAAAGTTTCCATAGTATTTCACATCACATTAGGGTAATAAAAATAGTATTAGGTCAATTAGATTGCTTTTATCGATCATATTGAGAGTATTGTATCATATCTTACTATCGATTTAGTAAGTATGTATACCGAATAAATCATAATCGATTATTCGATTGCAATAATCGATAACATTGCTGAAAATAAGGAATTGAATTAACAATCAAATGATAGTAATGATGGTAATCAGTAAAATCGATTAATCGAATTGTTAATCGATAAATCGTTATTTGGCAATATCGATTAATAATCGATCCGTGATCGATTATGCTACAACACAACAACTTAACTGGTAGAAATCCCATTGAAACATGACTGTGTTCATGTCATTTCTCTAAATGGTACCTAGGCATGGTCCTACGCTTATAATGTAGAACATGGTTTAAATATACCATTTGTTGGCCCCACTCCTGAACTGTTGGACATAATAATGGATAAATAACTTAATGTATTNGCTGCAACTGGATAGGTTTCGAATCCCGATCCTGGAGGCGGACCGACATTGTGGCGTTTTTGTACAAATCCCTTAACACTTCGATATATCGATAGTCAATTTGGCTGAGTCAGAGTTGATAATACATAACATCAGTTAATCGACTAACCTATGCTCGAAAATGTTGACCGAACAATCTTTCCCTAAAGTTCTTAAACTTATCAAATAAGATAAAACAGTTCTTATGTCTTTATACAAGCTTCTGCATAGACGCCTGATAACTACTTCTCGATAAGACTTGCGATCTGGGGCTTAGTGCGAGTTTACTTCAAACATCTTCGCTAGAGACTGCGTAAAAACATTACATTATGTATGACGGATTGTACAGCGTCCCTAGCAGATACTTTCAAGAACTGAAATTAAATCTTCATAGGATTTTTGGTGACCAAACTCACACTACGCACTGTTGGTTGTTATCTTGATAAGACATGCCATCAGTTGTTATCCTTTAGGCACGAAAGCCAATCAATGCAATTACGCGGCTGGCCAGTGTCAGACACAGGATCAATGCGGTCACGCGCGGACCTGATTACTTGAACAATGCGAGATTGTTGAGCTGATTGATCTCGTACTACGAACCCTCCATATAATTGACCCGCCACTGTAGTTAGCGAACACAATGCGCGTCTTCATCATATGATTAGCAAAAATAATTAGAATAACTACAACGCTTACTAAAGTACTAAAATACTAATTTAAACTGTGATCAAACTTTGGTCAAAGAATTAGCGTTTGCGTGGTTTAGTCAGATTTATAATTGCTTAACTTTAGCAAAACTTAAACGTAGGAAGCAAAATCAAAACAGCATAGCCTCTATTAATTTAAGTAGATTAACGTCTAGCTGTCATTGTAATTAAGTAGACCTACTTATTTGAAAATTTTCTAACGTTAATAGAATTGTTGTCAAAGTTTCTTGCCTCACTGAATAATAATCACGATCCAAAATTCTGTCGAGTCGTTATTGAATACAAGTTACTTTTACAAGTGCCTATTGACAATATTTTGAAACAAGAACAAGTTAGATTGCATATGTAAATATTTCAGAATCAATTTTAGAAGTGTGATCAAACTCACGGAAGCAAAGGGAAAGTTTAGCGGCGCAAAATCGAATATTTTGCATCGACCAAACTCGAAGCGAGTAGAATGACAAGAATCGGACAAGAAAATCGTAGGACAATTTGCTAGTGGAACCACATAATTAAAATAAGTACCTACTGTAGAACCTAGTACTGCATAACACTGGACCGCAAAGAAAAAAGGTCAATTAGAAAATCTTCTATAGCTTCAAAAGTACAATAGTTTATGAAACAAACCACTACGCATTTTTATTTGTGGAAAATAACAATCTTCAATTTGCTTAATACCTATTTCAAAAAGCTACTTTTGAAGATATTGAATATTTTCTAACCGACCCTCTTTCTTTGCAGTCCTTATGTTTCGAGATGAAAATTCAAAGTGATACGATACTAACATAATATTTTACCTATCACATAAACAACATTAGTCCGAAAACGGTAGTCATGCCTTTTTATTTTGATCTTCTTGATACTTAATACGTTGTCGTCGAGAATTTGTCCAAAACTGCTTTAGTGGATTTTTGACTAAGTAAGACAAGCGCGCCCTTTGAGAAACAACAATATGTATTCCCGGAAAAACTAACATGTCAATAAGGAATAAGTTGAGTTATTATATTGCCGAAGAATTCCAAAAATGTGTAGATGCAATAAAAATGTTACCATCTCTTACAAACACGTGTAAGTTTATATAAAAACTTCTGTTTTGATTTTAAATTCAACGTATTGTTCTGCAAGACTGTTTAAGATTTATGATCACCAATTGACCCTTTCAACTTAGTTACAACTTTGGGTAGTCCATTAATTAGTCGATCCATCCGATAAGGAGTGCTTGGAATTATGTAATCAATAATTATTGGATAACATCAACAAGGCACGTGCTTTGAGTTAAGTCCGAGGTTCGATTGTGTGGAGAATACGTGCCTCCCGACAATTAAATCAGTTAGTTACTGTGCCTTTGTCGTCTTAACCAGTTTACACAGCCAAATTTGTGAAAACATAGACCTTAGACCTCTATTTAGATCGTTTAGCTTGCTAACACAAGTTTATTACCGGCTTCGATGTAGCAAACGTGACAAGATAACATAATAAAACGAACTTTGAAAAATATGGCAGCTGTATATAAACTTTTCCTTTTTCATGTTGCTATTTATTTGTTATGTTACCTACACTCATAATGTTTATGACTGCAACGTGGGCAGACGATGATGGAATATGAAAAAAGTAAAGCAAAGCGAACGGTTTTACTTCTTTTATTTAACGAAGGTATGCTCGAATAAAAGTATGCACTCACATTTATGTAATACGTGTAAAACAGGTTTATTATCCTGAAATTCTGCGATCGATTTGATGTGAATGCCTGTTCTTATACC